AAAGTGCGTTAAACTTTCTCAGGCACTGCTAAAGTATTTCCATCACGACTCTGCATATACTTTTATTATCGCCTTCCATTCGAGCAATTCCATCATTAGATGAATATCAAGTTCATTTGGAGGTTTTGTGGGAAGAAAGCAATCGCATCTCTTGGCTAATTGTGGGCGCTCATTAAACTCTGTGTAAAGTTCAACGGCCTCCAAATTACACACAATCAATCATGTCGCTTTTGTCCATCTTCAGATGACGACACAGGCGAAATAAGAAGTGGTAAGATGTTGTCGAAATGGGGAGCAAGTGCTGGTAGTTTGGCCCCAAGTGCCGCACAAACACACTTAATGGCGGAGCTTTCGGGGGTGGGTGAAAAGGAACCCTTTTAAGCGGGAAATACGATAGCGCGCCCAGACCTTTCATACCGCACACTCGGTTGTGCCATTATTGAGTTTTTGGATAATTTATCTGATTCATCACTTCTTTTCGCATTCATCTCGAAATTCCGTCCAAGCGCCTCAGCAAGGCCATGACTATATAACGACCTGAATGGGTTTTCCACTCGTGCTGTGTGCGGATTAGAATAATTTCCGCCCTTTCATGGGATTCTGATGTTTCACCCTTCCCTGCCATTCTGGCATATCTCAGTGTGCTGATATGTTTCCCATATAAATGACATTCTCTGGACAGTGAAGATGAAAAAATAATCGAAAGTATTTGCTGGCGAGTGGCAAAAAGAATGGGGGAGGAGGGAGGGAATTTGAAATATTTTTCTGACACTTTTCCGCTCAACAACACTTATCCGAGGGCTTATTGGAAAATGATAACCGAACGGGGAGAGTGTGCTGATGGGTAAATTGGAAATACAGACTCAATAATCACTGCGAGGGGTTGGAGAAAGAAATGTAGAGCAAAGAGATACTGAAAACATTTCCAAGGCAATTCACTGGTCGTTACATGTTGGGGGAGACCATATTTCCGCTGCTCGTTCTTGTCAGTGCATCGCCCAGAGTTTGTGTTTGGGTGTGTGGACATTTCGTATTGCATTTTTATGTGAAAACGTGATTTTCAGAAAGCTCTCTGTGTGTTAAAACATTAAAGCTGAGCTAAAGGGGAAATTGAAGTTCCACCCGATAACCGCAGCATTCAGCGAAATCCTACACCCTCTTCCGGACGATTATTGCAGAGTAGACAAAAATGATTGAGAACAAAGCGTATAAATTGAGATATTTCCGCCCGATGTTGTGAATGTCCCTTGAGAGAGGAATTCGTGAAATAAATATTTGGTCAGGGATTCCCATCCTTTTCCCACTCCTTCCCCAGCCAAAGATGGTGGCGAGATGGTGTTGAAATTGGGGAAAAATGCCTGGCTTCCCAAGGAGAAAAGGTTCCCCCAGATACATAAAATTCCAATGATCCTTCACACATTAATGGTCATGTCTACAGTGGGTGGAGCGAGAGCACAATTGGTATAAAATTAAGTGTGTCTCCGGCATTATCCTGCGGATTCCCTCCGCAAAATGTACATACCAGAGAGACTTATTATGTGTGACTGAACTCCGGGGCTCCAGAATGTGAATTCACTCGATTCCCCCCATTGTAATCTGCAGTGGAACGAGAAAACTTTATGTCTGCATCGATATCAGTGTTCGAAAGCATACAAAGTTGTAAATCACTTTGGGGATCACCCAACTTCCTCTCTCTCTCTCACACCCTCACGTCCCCAATGCTGCATCTCGGTGCTCGCATCCAATTCACTCCTCCAAATGTTCGATGACACGTTAATAATGCGGAATAATAATAAATTTATAATGGCAAATAGAATTTTATTGTTCAACTGACATGAATTTTATTCACATCATAGCCAGAGAAAATGAATGTGTGTTAAAAATGCGAAAATCCTGGCGAGAAACAATGCTGCTCGCGTGCTTTTTCGCCGTGTTGAATGCTTCTGCTGCTGCTGGTGTGGAAAAGAATATGACAAAATGAATTATTGGCACTCTCCATTGTTCCACTTATTTGCTCTCTTCTCAAAGTTACTTCCAAGTCACCGACAGAGCTTTTCTCGCAAGATTTTCGCGTGCGCCGAGAAAAACAAACTCGACCCACACCCAAAACTCGTCATGGGAGCTTTTCTTCCTGTCACGACAAAATTGAATCGATAATATTCTAATATCCGGAAGTGAATTATGCTGATGCTCGAGACACATTGAGAGGGTATTATATTTCCCCAAAACAAATAACATTTCGCATAAGACTCGCTCTCACCATTGGCGGCGTGGAAGATTTTTGAGATGTGAGCCTCTTAAGGATGCCGCTCAAATGCTCCCTATTGGAGTTATCTCACGTATGACGACTTTGAGGAATTCCCAATTAGCCCCACTCGCTCTTGCAGCAGCCAATTAACTTTTAATCCTGCTGCAGGAGTTTGCACAGCGCGAAGAATAGAGTTTCACCGTGTCAATTGAGATTGGTGATGAAGTTGAGACTTTGCTCCCGAGGCCACAGCGACTCTCACCTCTCAATCACGCTTGATAGTTTGGTTTTTGGGTGAACAAACTCTGTGATGCTCATGTGTACTTGCGCTGGCGGCGGCGAAATGTAATCCATCTGCGATGACTTGAGGCGAAGGAGGATGACTGTGTGATAGAAAATTCAGGACAACAGCGTCATAGTTGACTCAAGTGGAGTGGAAGGAGAGAAAGTGTTGCGAAAACAGAAGCAATTTTCTCCTTTTTCTCGCTCTCTCCTTGAGACATATTTCTCCCCGGGAACTCCATGTCCGAGGATTTATTGCGAATGGTGGGGGAGTTTTAAAAATAAAGAAATAACTAATATGTCACTCGAGCACATTCCACCCGCCTGTTCACCAGGCATCGCGGACAGAGTGCGGTCGAGGGAATGGTTATGTAGGGAATGGCACAATTAACATTATATGCTCTATTTAGTTGAGGATTTTTCAATTAAAAATGTACAACACATATCTCGAGCAATTTTCTCCTCATTGAATCTCCCGCTGCACCACAACGGGTCACGATGTTGAGAGAGCTTTGAGCATATTTATATATCCGCAAATCCCAACTTCACTACATGTAAAAGTTTTATGAGTTTGACCCAATTTTTATTGCGTTATAAGAATTTCTCTAGTCTCGGACTAGAGCTGATGGCGAAAGCGAGAGGAGCTCATATGTTAAGGCCTCTCTGGCTGCTGGAAGTGCTCTATTTATGGGCCACCGTGGAAGCCGAGGATATTACATCCCTCAAGAAGTTTTACGCTCTTTTTCCCATCCACACACTATCGTCCCATCCCGGGGAAACACACAATCAATTGGATACGCTGTGGAATAGGTTTTGATGAAGAAATTAAACGAATTGTATAGTGTGTTTGCCATTCATCCATCGGGGGAGTGTTTTTCGGGTTCCCCATTCGAGAGTGGCTTTGTTTAAAACCACACACACACCAAGTGCTTCTCATGTTTACCGTTCTTATCTCCGCACAGTCATCAGTGTGGCATTTGGTGGAAGCGTGCAGAAGAGGGAAAAATGCGGTCGATATAATTAAGCAACAGAGTGGGAAAATTGGGAAACTTATGCAACAACAATCAACAGGGTTGGGCTTCTTCCCGACCCAATATCTTATCTCCACGCTGTGGGCAATCAAAGCACTAATCGATGCTAAAGCCTGAGATTTTATCCGCACTTCCTTTGTCCGGAGTCCAGTGGAAAAATAGTTTTCTGCTAAATGTAGTTTTACCAAATCATGGTATGATTGGGCATTTTCATCTGAATGTCGCTCTTTTGGGGCGAAAAAAGAGCCTAATCATAGTGTAATCGTCAATAAACCGCCTCGTTGAAAGGTCAAATCCTACCCTTAAGATCCACACCCAAAGAATTGGCCGACGTGTCGACTTTTGCACAAATGCACATCGCTTGGCGTGCACTCAATGCAGACGCCTGGTACCCGGCGTCCCCATCGCGTTAATCTCCCCAGAAGAGTGCCAAACAGCAGGATTACGTGTTGTTGCAGGGGAGAAGATGCTCAGGTGTGGCAGAATTCTCCTCCTCACTCACTCTGCAAATTGTGGGTGAGGCATTTTATGCAGCTCTGCGGGAATGGCAGTGATGATGGGTGGATTTTCTCTGGAATGCCATAATATTCGTGTAGAAGCGTCGTGCGATTTATCATGACTTGTCATCCACACCATAGTTTTTAAAAGGGCCAAAATACCACCAACAAAAAATTCCTGTGCAAAAGTTTACTGGGTATTTGTTTGTGGACTACCATTTGGTTGTCGAGGGCTTTCGACAATGAGGAAATTATGCCAATGTTGCGAAGATAATCATTAAAAGTTCTTTGCCATTGAATATAGTCGGTTTCGAGGGTGTTTTATTATCTCCTGAATGATGTGAATGAAAGATACAATCGAGATAAATATCTAGTCACCGTCAAACTACCTTGCTGTGGACCGATGTTGAATTGGTATGACAAAAATCATCAACGCGTCATGCAAGAAAGCTGTCATGCGGCGATTTTTATATGTCACATCGAGCCTTTTTGCTAGTAATTTTTGTTGTGTGTGTGTGCGAATTCTGGTTTGATTGATTGACGATTTTACAGATCAATCACCTCATATCTCTGCACTATTTTTGCGGATTCGCTCTATGACAAACAAATTTATTTATCCATTTCTCTCCAACCACCAAGCCACAGTGAGAGAGAGAGACAGGCGAAGCACAGGCAAAAAGCAGACGAAGAAGAAAAAGGTGACGAAGGGCGAAAATGAAGAAAAATGTGAAAAGAATTAAAGTCATAGGGAGATATCACAGTTCAAGAAAGAGAGACAGAGTCTTTAAGGAGTTCCTCTGCTGCGTGAGCCCGGCAGGAAGCTAATTAAAACTACGTGTAATTTTTGTGTCGCACAAATGGCAATGAGTTTGAGGGGGAGGCGCAATGATCCCTATGGGGGAGTGAAGAGGGAAATTAACAGACTCTTTTCTGTGTTTGCAGTGATCTTGGAACAAACAATATTACCAATTTACCTAGTAGAGCTTTTGATATGGCGTCATCTTTAGAGGAATTGTAAGTTAATTGCATGTTTATTAATATTTATTGCATATTATACGTAATTTCTCCTTGATTCTCCCCCTTCGTGTCCTTGCCGATGTCATCTCTCCTAATCTCATTCCAACTAATGTGCGATGTCTCTTGTGCGCAGAATTTTATCAGATAACACCTTAGCGAGGATAGCTCCAGATGCCTTTGATGGATTGGGCAAATTGAAACGATTAGTCCTTCACAATTGCGGTCTCACGCACGTTCCCGACGAGGCGCTCAAGCAACTGCCATCGTTGACGTCATTGTAAGTATCTGTGCATGGGCGACAGAGAGAGAGTGGGTGGCTTCCATCTACCTTGCTTTCAGCACAAATTAAGTACAATGCTACAACACAGCAAGATGTATTGCCAAGGCAATCCTACGCAAGATAGAATGAAATTAGGAAAATTATTCATAAAGAATATACATAAATTTTTATTTATCCCTCCAAGACAATCTCTGACTCTCGCTTCCTTTCGCTTCCATCCTATCCGCACCCTCTCTCTTCTATGTTGTATTATGTATTTCTGTAAACTACGCCAGAGATTTCCTCCCCCGCTCAGCCCTGGACTCTGTGTAATTTGCTCCTTTTCTCACTGTTTTGTGTGCGTGTGTGTGTTATTTCTTGTTGCTAAATGTTTCCATAAATCACACTAATAAAAATGTCCCAGGCAGATAGATGGGAATGCCATAATGTATCTGGACAGTGTCAACTTGCGACATCTTCAGCAATTGCGGAGTTTGCGATTAGAGGGGAATATGATACAAAAAGTTCCCACCGAAACTTTAGCTGGTCTTCCATCTCTTGAGGCACTGTGAGTTTTCTTTTTTAATGGCCTGACTTTTTTTACACGCCCTGTCGCATCACAAATTCCTCTTTAATAGACATAATATTTGCTACTTCACTTTTTGCCCAGTCGCTCCATAAGTCGAGTTCTGGTGGCTGTTTTACTAGATGAGAGATTGCATGGCAAATCTACGACAAACCGACTCCCTTTTTGGCGATTTCTTGTGTGTGATTTCTTTTCCAAATTGTGCTGTGTGTAGATTTGTCAGCAAACTTCGGAAGGTGTGTGTGTATGTTGAATTCTTTCACAAATTAAACCCCCGAGAAGATCAAGAAGCAATAAATTGGCCATGAAATAACGCATTAATGTGACAAAATTCTCTTCCTCTTCTTTCTCTCTTATTCTCCAATCTATTCTGTCTGTCAATCTGTGCTCTCTCTCTCTATTGTATCAACTTTGATTTGACCCCTAATATATCATCAAAATTGTGTGTAGTGATAATAAAAATTACTTTAAGATAGCACATAAGATGTGTTGAGAGGCATATAAGAAAAATATGTGGTGTGTTTATCGTAAGTAGGTTAGAGAAACAAATTTCCATAAAATTCCCCTAAAAGAAATGATACAATAACTCTCACATATACTGAAGATAAATAAAAAGTCTCTCGCTCGCACTCACCAAAAGAATATTTGCGCAAAAGAAGTGTTTCTCGGGGGAGATTGGCGAAACTCCAGTAGAGCTCCCGAGGACAAATAATAAATAAACTCACTGGCGAGGAATACAAATAATCGGTTATTGTTCTCTTTCTTCCCCTTTCCACCCCCTCTCGCCTCCACCCCTCGACAAAAATTCTCTGCGATGCTCCACTTCAACGCCAGGAACTTGGGCAACAATCATCTGGTGAGCATCGAGGAGGATGACTTTCCCGTGATGAATAATTTAATAGTTCTGTGAGTTTACCAATTAATCCCATTTTCTTAACTCGCAACACAACTGAGAGTATGTGTTTGTCTAGATAATTTACTGGGGATTTTCTCCCCTTCTCCCGTTACAGTTTGCTGAAGAGGAATCAAATCAGTGAGATTAAGGCAGGTGCTTTTGGCAATTTGTCCAAATTGCGAGTACTGTGAGTATATCTGCAATCGAATTCTGCCAGCCAATTGCTTGCAATTTTTCACCGAGTGCCTTTCCTTTTTTTTCGCCATCTTCGGTCTGCCCTTTCACATTCTCCAGCGAATTGGACGACAACCTGATAACTTCTGTTTCATTTGGATTGGAAAATATGACACAATTGCAAGAATTGTGAGTGTTGAAAGGATGTTCTCTTTTTTATCTCATTTCTCTTTTAGGGCTCCTATCGATGGGGGTAGAAAGAGGGGGTGGGTGTGAAATTGCATGAAGTGGCGACGTTCGTTATCAGAATGAGAGTCTCCACTTCATGAAGCACAGGCGTAGCAACAGAGCCCTCAAATGGCTGCGATAGTTTGCAAATTTTAAAGCTCAAGGAATTCCAGGAACACTACGCCACTCCTCAATGGATCAATACACTCACATAGGTGTTTATCTTTCTCTTCTTATGCTCACCAACTTGTACGTCATGCATTGTCTTACGCCCGGCTCACCAGTTCGGCGTCCAATAACCGAATTCGATGGCTATCGAAGCACGATTTACCGAGGAGTCTTACGGCGCTTGATTTACGAGCCAATCCATTGTCAGGAATTAAACCGGGTGCCATAAATAACATGCCAAGGTTGAGGAAATTGTACGTATTTTATGTGACTGCCGATGTTGTGTTAAGTGAGTGTTTTTGTGCTCAATTAATTCCCTCCTCCCTCCTCCCTGGCATGCAGAGTGCTGTCGGACGCCAGGAGCTTGCTGGAGCTGCCGTCTCTGGATGGGTGTGGTGCCCTGGAGATTTTGCGTGTGGACAGGGCCAGCCTGTCCAAGGTCCCCTCCAACCTCTGCAAGACCTGCCCCCGCCTCAAGAGCCTGTAAGTGTGTGTGGCTTAATTAAATTGTCACCACTCACTGTCCAACTAATCCCTCAATCTCTCGTGCGCCTCCCCCGACCAGAGAATTGAAGTCCAACAAGCTGAGGGTGGTGCCCGAGTTGTCCGGCTGTCGGGAGTTGCGTGTCCTGGACTTGGCGGGCAATCACATCTCATCCCTGCACGGGGCGCCGTTCCAGGGCCTCGGACAGCTGCACGACCTCCTGCTGTCGGACAATGAGATCCAGGAAATTCCCCGCACAGCCTTCGCCGGCACGGCCAAATTGCAAGTGCTGGACTTGGAGGGCAATAAAATCCACACCATTGATGCTGATGCCTTTGCGGAGTTCGGCCAACTGGAAGATCTCAATTTGGGCAATAATGTGTTCCCCCACTTGCCGGCAACAGGTCTCAATCGACTGCTCCACCTCAAGACGTTCAACAACCCCAAGCTGAGGGAGTTTCCACCGCCCGAGACCTTCCCTCGCATTCAGACCCTCGTCCTCTCCTACGCCTATCACTGCTGCTCCTTTCTGCCCCTGCAGACCCTGGCGCACCGCAACAAGGTGCCACCGCTGCAGGAGGCTGTCCTCTTCCCCTCAGACAATGAGTTCGACATGAGTCTGTGGAACAACAGTCTCTCAGACATCTGGCCGCAGCTCCACAATCTCAGCAAGAAGTTCGGACCGCAAATCAATGAGCTGTGGGACTCCTTCGGTTCGGACTTCACCTATCCGGGCAATTTGCCCGCCTATGTTGAGGAGTACTTCGAGGAGGACAATGTGGCGCCCACGAGGAACTTCGCGCCAGAAATAATGACAGGTGAGTCGCGGGGTTGCAATTGTGGGCGGAGCATAAGAATGGGCGGGGCATCGCTTTGCATATATCCGCAAAGACTTCCGAACTCTCTTATCGCTCTCAGCACACGAACTCTTACAGCAGCACTGCTTTCCCGCGCAGTGTCGTTAAAGTTGCAAAACTGTTGGCGAAACAATATATCCTTCATGATAGTTTGCATTGTTGAAGTAATCCAATTGCAAGTTTCAGCAAATGGTATCTCTTTGCATAATCTTGTAAGACACATTCTCGGGGCGGATTTGGGAAATGAGATCTTTTTCTCCGCAGGTGCCATCCAGTGTCTCCCACTGCCCGGTCCCTTCCTGCCCTGCGCCGACCTCTTCGACTGGTGGACTCTCCGCTGTGGCGTGTGGGTGGTGTTCCTCCTGGCCATGCTGGGCAACGGCACGGTGGTGTTTGTGCTGATCTTCTCGCGCTCGAAGATGGATGTGCCGAGGTTTCTGGTGTGCAATTTGGCCGCCGCAGACTTCTTCATGGGCGTTTATCTGGGAATTCTGGCCGTTGTGGATGCCTCCACGCTGGGAGAGTTCAGGATGTTCGCCATTCCGTGGCAAATGAGTGCCGGATGTCAGTTGGCAGGATTTCTGGCGGTTCTCTCCTCCGAACTCTCCGTCTACACTCTTGCTGTGATCACGCTGGAGCGCAATTACGCCATCACGCACGCCATGCATCTCAATAAGCGCCTGTCTCTGCGCCACGCGGGCTACATCATGACCTTCGGGTGGGCCTTCGCACTCACCATGGCCGTCCTGCCGCTCTTCGGGGTCTCAGACTACAGGAAGTTCGCCGTTTGCCTGCCCTTCGAGACCACAAACAGCACGGCGAGTCTGGCCTACGTGGTCTTCCTCATGCTCATCAACGGCATCGCATTTCTCATCCTCATGGGATGCTATCTGAAGATGTACTGCGCCATCCGTGGCTCTCAGGCGTGGAACAGCAATGACTCCCGAATAGCCAAGAGAATGGCTCTCCTGGTCTTCACGGACTTCCTCTGCTGGTCTCCCATCGCCTTCTTCTCCCTCACGGCCGCCTTCGGACTGCACCTCATCTCGCTAGAGCAGGCAAAGGTGTTCACGGTATTTGTCCTGCCACTCAACTCCTGCTGCAATCCCTTCCTCTACGCCATCCTCACGAAGCAGTTCAAGAAGGATTGCGTGCTCATCTGCAAAGCCATCGAGGAGTCTCGCGTGACCAGAGGAATTGGACGCTGTCGCCACAGTTCCAACTTCAGCAACCGCCAGACGCCGGCCAACACCAACTCTCTGGTGGAGAGATCCTCGAAGGAGCTGCCACCGCTGCTCCCTGGGCCTCAGTGTGGCTGCGCGAAGTTGCTGGAGCAGCAGGTGGCCAGGAAGCGCTCCAATCACCACCAGGAGAGCACGTTCTCGAAGATGTGGCGCCAGTTCCTCTGCAACAAGCGTCCGCCAGAGAGTCGTCGCAGCCAGTCTGACCAGTACGCGTACCAGATCGCCGAGATACAGCAGAAGCAGCATCACAAGAGGGCAGGATCGATGTCCTCCAGCGAGAACTTCAGCTCCTCGCGCTCCGACTCGTGGCGACACGGACCGCCGCATCACCACTGCGGCATTCCGCTGAGGATCCTGGACACCAGGCGACGGCACTCCTCGTGGCTGGTGACCAGGAAGACGTCGCAGGACTCCAACTTGTCCAGCTCGCGCAACGACTCCTCTACGTCCGCCACCACTGCGAGCACCTCCACATTCCGCATGTCCAGATCCAGCGCCGGAAGCTCCACTCCGATGCCGCCACTGAGTGAGTTCTCCTTTTGCCTTCTTATTATTAGCAAATTAATCAAATTTCGCGTGAGAAAATGTCAGAAACGGAGACATGGAAGAATGATTGCAGTGCTGAATGTGCATAAAGTTGCAAGAAAATGTTGTGACCTATTAAATGGGGATGAGAAATGTTCAGCAGTTCTCTCAATAGCAAAAGCAGTGAAATGATTTATGTTGCTTCCTTTTTGACTCAAAGGAGCCAAATACAAGGAGAAAAATGTCTCTCAGTACTTATTTCATGCTTTGCAAACTTTTTCCCTCATGTTTTTCTTTTTCACGATAAAAGTAAACACTTTTACGGCATAAAACGATATACTGCATATTTCAAAAGATATTTTATTGCCATGTAAGAGAAATTCCATCATGTCGATTACTTGATAAATATGACTCTAGATAGCAATTTGCCGATTCTCCCATCATGTGTAATTTTATAGCCCGGGAAAGAACATGTATTTCTCAGATTTTATGCCTCGCACATCTTGATGGATGCAATGCGAATTTATGATATCAACGGCGGATGAATTAATGGAGGAGAACTTCTGAACTTTCGCCACAGGAACACCTTTTCCTGTGCAAACACTCCATGGGATGGAGGGAGTTTGCAATGAAGCGATTCTTAAACTTCCACAATGAGCGTATTGATCTTTGCACTAGAGTTCCTTCACACACAAAAGTTCGCAAGTTTAATTTAATTTGACATGGAAAAGTTCACGTTCGAAATATGCATACATGACTGACAAGGGGAAGACAGTGTGTCTAAATTCCTGTACACCAATTCTCGCAGATACGCCCAGAAACAGTATTCCGGGAGCGAAGCCTCGGCTGGTGCGGCAATCCGCCGTGCAGGAGGAACTCTCGGCGGATCTGTCGGCGTCGCCGCCGCGCCTCGGCGTCCGCTTCCTGCCCACAATCCCGTCGGCGGCGGACAGCAGCGTGCAGCTGGACGAGGAGTCGCAACAGGCCATCTGCGACTCCACGGGCATTGCGTTCTACACCATCCTGCAGAGTGGCAGCCCGTTGGCCACGCTGTCCAGTCCCAAAGACAAGAACCGGCCGCCCTGAGGCTTCCGCAAGGCCAGAAGCTTCTACATCTAAAGACAGTTCCCTGTAAAAACTCACTATACAATTAAGTAGTGTAATGTTAACTGTAGATTTATTGACTGCCATTAAAGTAAGTGATAAGATTTTTGATATAAGTTCCACTTTCGTGATATACAATACATAGATCTTTCTTCTCGAATCTCATAAAGAGTTGCTGTATAAACATTTCTATATAAAGAAAAAAGAAAATCTCTCTCTCTTAACACATGTGGCATAACTTAATAGCAGAATGATGCTGTTGTAAATGAAAGCAAGAAGAGTGATGAAAAAAGTTGTAAAGAAAATCATAAAATGACAAATTGTTCAAAACCAATGCCAAACTTTATGTAGTAAAATTATCAAAATACTGCAATATATAGTATACACACCACTGAAAGGATATTCAAGTTATGAATAATTATGTACAATATACTTAATTGTGTACATCCATTTGAATTGTATTAATGGTATATCACCGTCCATGGACAATAACCGCAAAATTATACCTATTTTAAAAGGAAAACATTATCTATATGCACTCCAGTGTATTCAAGAAACATGGAGGGATAAAGTAAATTATTATGAATGGACCATTCTTTGTTTTTTCTCTCCCTTTTTCCGGTGTTTTCTCTCAGATTTACTCGGAGTGGTCGGTTGATGGCGGTTTTTCTCTTCAAATCCACTCGATATTAATCGCCAACCGCGCGATATTGGTGGACCGCAGCGCCTCTGGTGACTGGAGCCGTGCAATAGTGACGTGCAAAATCACAACAAAAAGACATCTGCTCGTGAAATTCTGTGATTTTCCTGGAAATTCCCTGATTTTCCGCTGTAGTTTTCTACTTTTGTATCGTGTGTAGTGAAATAAGATAATGGTGCAGCAAATGGAGGAGCTGAAGGACGAAGATCGTCCCTCAAATGTGCTGGAATGGTTCACTGAACTTCCCGAAGTTATGGAAATCATTCGCAGCCTCTCCAGCATTTACAAGAGTGACTTTGAGAGGGCCCACGAGAAGTATTCCGAGATCCTGAGCAGGTATCAGGAGCAGCCCCATCTGCTGGATCCCCACTTGAGTGACTTGGTCACGGAAGTGCTGCGATACATTCGGGAGAGTGAAGATGAGGAGCTTCAGCACTGCGCCTTCAAGTATCTCTATCAGCTGTCCAAAGTGCGCACGTACAAGGCTTTCGTGAAGTTCCTGCCGCACGAGATCAGCGATCTGGACCTGGTGCTGAATCTGCTGGAGAAGCAGAGGCTGGAGGATGCGGAGAACTGGGAGAGCAGATACATGCTGCTGCTGTGGCTCTCTATTCTCGTCCTTAATCCCTTCCACATGAGTCGCCTGGACGCCTACTCTTCTGGCGGCGACTTCCTGCCCAAGATGGAGAGGATATTCCGACAGTGCCAGATGAACTGTGACAGCAATGACACGTCGGCAGGCGTAGCGGCATTCCTGTCGGCCAGATATCTCGTGCGCAGCGACGTGAAGGACACTTACTTGCCCAGATTCTTCGACTGGATCATCCAACAGAGCGAGAAGGATGTGGAGTCCATCAAGATAGGCCAGTTGTGCGCCATCTCGGCTATTCTGAAGCATGGGAAGAGAGAAGATCTGCTGCCGCACACGAATAAGATCCTCCAGTGGGCGACTGGGTGCAATTTCAAAGAGTCCAACAACTATCTGAAGCATCTGCACTACGTGAAGATTGTGCAGAGATTGGGACTGGTGTTCCTGAAGCCACGACTGGCCAGGTGGCGATATCAGAGAGGCTCCAGATCAATTGTGGCCAATCTGACAGAGCCTGGCGTCCAGGACAACGCGCCAGTGGCGGATTCCTTTTCCGGCGGCGATGTTCTGCAGCACCAGGAGGAGATTGTGGTGCCCGATGAGCTTGAGGACATCATCGAAGAGCTTCTGCAAGCGCTGCGCAGTGCCAGCAATGCCGTTCGCTGGTCAGCGGCCAAGGGAATCGGCAGGGTGACCAATAGACTGCCCAAATCACTGGGAGACGAAGTTGTGGCCACGCTCATTGAGGTCTTCAATCCTCTGGAGCAGCACGAGACGTGGCACGGCGGTTGTCTGGCGATGGCGGAGCTCGCAAAGCACGGCCTTTTGCTTCCTCATCGCCTCTCCACGATGGTTCCCATCCTCCTGCAGGCGCTGATGTACGACGAGATGAAGGGCTACATGTCTGTGGGACAGCACATCAGGGATGCCGCATGCTACATGAGCTGGGCCTTCGCGAGAGCCTACAATCCCGTCGATCTGCAGCCATTCGTGCAGAAGATCGCCTCAGCTCTCTTGGTGACGACGTCTTTTGACCGGGAGATCAACTGCAGGCGCGCCGCGTCGGCCGCTTTCCAGGAGAGCGTCGGCAGACTGGGAAACTTCCCGCATGGCATCGACATTCTCACCAGAGCGGACTTCTTCTCGGTGGGCATCAGGAACAATTCCTATCTGGTGGTCAGCGATTACATTGCACAGTTCCCAGAATACACCAGACCGCTGATTGATCATCTGATTGAAAAGAAGGTGAATCACTGGGATTCATCGATTAGGGAACTCACGGCCAGGACGCTCAACAAGCTCACCAGGCACGATCCCAAGTACATGAAGGAGGAAATCATTCCCAAACTCTTTGATCTCACGGACTCCATGGATGTGCACACGCGCCATGGAAGTGTCCTGGCCATTGGTGAGATTGTCCTGGCGCTGAAGACAATTGACCAGGAATTGATTACGGCGGAAATCAGTGAGAAACTGAACGGATTGATTGAAAAGTTCAGCGGCAGAGAGCAATTTCGGGGAATGAGCGGAGAGATTATGAGACCGGCGTGCACGGACTTCGTGAGGAACTGCAGTCAGGCTGGTATTGAGGCCACGGATCAGTGTCTCTCGTCCTGGCAAGCGCTAATAGACAAGTGCTTGACAAACAAAAATGCTCAAATCAGGGAATCCGCCATTGGCGCTCTGAAGCCTCTCTGCGAGACCTTCTATTCAGTTTCCGGAAGAGAGGAGCGCAACGCTGGCGTGATTGAGAGTTATCTGAAGGGTGCAGAAAATGATCTGGAAGAGAACATCAGAATGGGCTTCTTGGCAGCCCTTGGAACACTCCCGAAATTCATGTACTTGCAGAAGTTCGATACGATTCTCAATGTCCTCACGAAGCAGTGCTTGATTCCAATTCCTGCCGCTTCCGGGGAGAATCCTGTGACGGTGAAGTGGTCAGAGGCGCGCTGTGAGAGTGTCAAGGCGCTGACGAATATGGTGCTGACGATGGGATTCGATGGAGAGCAGCATTTCGGCAGGCCGGAGACGCTGCAAAGGGTTTTTGACTGTCTGCTTAAGGCTCTTGAGGAGTACACTCTGGACAACCGCGGAGACATTGGCGCCTGGGTGAGAGAGGCGAGCATGAACGGATTGTTCGCCATGATCACCACTTGTCCTCCGGCTTTGCTGCGGCCAGAAGTCGTGCACGAGATCATGACGCACTTCTGCCAGCAAGCAGTGGAGAAGATCGACAGGACTAGAGGTCTGGCGGGCAGACTCTTCTGCAATCTCGTTCACCATGAACCGGCGATTCCGCACGTTCAGGAGCACGACCGCCTGAAGGAGATCTTCCCGGAGGACAGCAACACCGTTCGCTGGCTCTTTGCCGATCATCCTTTCCTGCTCTTCTGCGAGATGCTCACTCTTCCCGTCTATTCGCCGAGTATTCTGCTGGGATTGTCCGCCAGCATTGGTCAACTCACGGAATCTCTGGTAAGGAGAATTTCTCCCTTCACTCCCTGTGAGATTAACTCTAGTGATTTTCCTCTTGCAGATCAAGTATTCATCTTCAACATTTTTCCAATTCCTGAAATCTCATCCGGATCACGTGAAGCGCATTGGTCAGGAGATTGTGGCTGTATTCCGGAAGAATGCTCTCATCGAGCGCGTCACTTGTCCCATGCTGAACTTCCTGGACATTCTGATCAGCTCTGGGACGATTGATGTTCTGCTCTCCGACACGGACTTTCCCGATGAGATTTTCCAGCTGGTCAGCGCCGAGATTGCCGGTCAGAATAAGCTGTACAAGCTCATCTCCAGCATTCACGTCTACTGCCAGCTGATCCAAGTGCCGCGTCTCTGTCCGAAGATCCTCACGAAGATGATGTTCTTCCTGGGACGCTCGCACGTGCACGTGCGCAAGACGGCGGCCATGAAGCTCTACGAGGCTTTGATTGTGCACGGCGATTCCTCAGGCGTGGAGGAGGAGAACATGGAGGAAGTGCTTAATTTGCTGTCTGAGACTAATTGGGCGCAGGAAATTGCGGAAGTTCGTCCCATTCGGAATGAATTGTGTCGTCTGTGTGGCGTGAAAGCGCCCGTGACTGTCCAGAAGGGCGCTAAGTGAGCTTAAATGTTTCCACTTTTGATGGCAATAAAGAAGTCACAATCGAATTATTTTTCGTCATCTTTATTATAATTGTGTAAATTACGATATCGCTATCAATTATTAGCAATAATAAGTTATTCTAGAAAAAATCTGTCTCTCTTGTTACAAAAATGCGATGCAAAAATGCGGTAAATTGTGTCAAATCTTTTGCTTTCGGTAGAAAATCTCGGTGTCTATTTTCGAGGGTGTTTTTTTTCTCGCGCACTACTTTTCTTGTGTCCCCGTTTAAAAAAAAACACACACTTTTTGTGTTTATACATTTAAAAAACAAACAAATATTGGACAGTTTTGGCAGTTCTCTGGGTGTCTTTTTATTATTCCATTCTTCTTATTCAGTTTGATCGTCTTCATCTTGCTGGAGTGACTAATATTATGCGTTACTTTATTTATATATAAATATAAATATCAAGAATGACTTCTTTCAGCTTTCAACTTTGCCTATGTGAAAGATAAATATTGTATAATATAAAAATATTACAATTAATTCTTCCGCAGAAGTGTCTCATGATCAAAAAATGTCATCATTTAAATAAACATTGCGTTAAATCTTTAAGAAAACATTATTATTGCAAGTTTAGTGGCTCTCTCTTTCTTAAACGCGCTTCCAATTGTGATATTATTTTTTTTCTCAAAGGAGGAGGAATTGAAAGCCACGCACACGAAAAATTAAAAGATGATAATCATATGATATACGGTGTAATAATATAAATAGCATTAATTAATTAAGCACAATACATTTAAAATATGTTTCTTTAGGTAGTGGATAGATTATGTTTAGTATTCCCACTGCGTGGCTGAATCTGATCCGCCCTCGACTATTCTGAAGGTGCCATTTTTCGTGGCGCCCAAGTACCTTCCATCTGTGGATCTGCAAAGAATAGGCCAGATAAGACTTATGTTAATCCGTCACGCAAAACATGTTGTCGCGATGTGCGAAAGCTCTCGCGAGCGCTCACTTTTGAGGTTGAAGAAAGCAAAATTGATTTGAAAATCCAGTTTAGCCAGACTGGCGAAAAATTTGCCTGTCATTTGTCTGAGGCACATTTTCGGCAACTTTCCAACACTCTCACAAAACTCATTGAAAAGTCATGGGAATTGATTGTGAAGAATTAGGCGAGCAATTAACTAAATTACATGTCATTTAGCATCGTTATTAATGGTTATTTTGTCAAGAAATTCAGTGTTAATTTTATTTGGCAATTAATTAATGATGATTTGGTGTGGTTTATGAATGCTTGAGGCACTTTCCACTCACCGAATGCAAATCCTAGTTGGTTCTCTGAGTTCCAAGTAGAAGCCATCGGATGGCGAGTCCGCGTCCACTGTGATTCCGTCCCCGTCTATTCTCCAGTACTTGCCGTTGTGCCCCTTGAAGTGCACGATGCCCTTCTCCGCCCGCTCCACCAGGATCGTCTCGTACGTGGCCTTGTTGCACTCCAGCTTGTTGCTGTGCTGCGCCCGGTAGCCCACGAAGCCCTGCTCGCACTTCAGCACCAGGATGGGCCGGTTGATTAGGTAGAAGTAGAACTTGGCGATGTCCTCGATGCTCTCCGACGTGGCGAACAGGTGGCCGGAGCGCTTGGTGGCCAGGAAGCGGCCGTTGTTGGAGCGGAAGCTCACGGATCCGTCGCCGTGCCACACCAGCTCGAATAGGGCGTCGGCGCAGCGGCGGCTGCCCGTGGCCTGGATGCCGCCGCCGTTGGACAGACACCAGTAGCGATCCTGGGTGGTGCGCAGAGCCCAGCGATGGGCAGACCAGTCGAACTCCAGCTGGAACGTCTCGTTCTCGCCGATCTCGTCCTGGTTGGCCGTCACGTCCACGCCCTGCTTCACGGAGACGTACTTGGAGTTGAGGGCGGCGATGAAGGAGGCCTGCGGCAGGGAGTCCTCCAGCGAGAACAACTCATCCCTGGTAACTGTCTGGGAGCGGGATTTCAGCACAGCCTTCGATCCGATCGGCGACAAGTACAGTCCGTGGCTGCGAAGACAAGCGGACAATTTCTAATTAATGAACCGAAATCGATCCAGCAAAAGTCGGCGAGTAGGTGGTCATCCGCTGGGTACTTTCCAGTTTCTGCCTCCAATTGAGAGTCGCATGACCTCATAAATTTCTTAGCATTTCACGATCATCGCGCGGCTTTTATTACGCGATCACGCGCTTCATTACGTCGGATTCATTCCATTAACTTCTCCTCTCCACTCTCTCGAGGGCACTTTGCTGGCATTTCGCCACAATAAAAGCCAACTGGGAAGATGATCCCAGGCTCTCAACACAAACTCAACAGCGGCCAAAGAGTGGCGCGATAAGAACTTAACGAGATGCAAATTCGCTTGCCAAAATTAAAACTACACATCTTAAAAGCAGAGATTCAATTAAGTCGTGAAACTTCACAAGTTAATTCTCTATCACTGCCTTCTCGATATGTTATCTTGTTATTTTCCCCTTGTTCTGCTGTGCAAAAGACTTTCTCCTTACCGATCTCTGAGCGCCAGATGACCGCTGTGGTATTCAGCACTGAATAGACAATCCTCGGTGCATTGCGTCTCGAGCTTTCCATTAGAATTCAGATACTTGTTATTGCAAGTATGCAGTGCGTAACGTCCTCCTTCGTCTGCTCGAAACTCCAGCGTGAAGAGCGTGTCTTCGCCCCACGGAATGTTGGCGTCGACATGAATCTCATCTTGAGTTTCCGACAAGTGAGCAAACCGTTTCCGACCAACAGACCGCAAATTAACCTGATAATAAAATGTGTTTTACAATAGCCGCTCACTCAACACTCTCAGCATACATCAAATATTGGCGATCTTTGGTGATCTTCCTCCAGTCGCCGATCGCCACTCGTCGCGTCCAGCAAGATTGAGATCGCGCCCAATCTTGAGACTTCGTGGCTGTCTTCGGAAGACCACCGAAATTGCGCAGCTCACCTGAGGCCTGGCAGCCAGATGCACAGCCCAAAATTCCCCTTTGCTCACTGTCTTCGCCGTGCAGACCAATTTATCGGGTGTGCCGCCCAGGAAGTATCCGCGCGACTCATTCTTCAGTGCCCATCGACCGGAACCATCTTCGGCGATGCTGATCTGGAAGCGGCTGCCGGCGTCGCGCTCCTCTGACTCGCACAGCACATTCCCGAAGGAGTCAACGGACAAGTACTTGCCCAGGTGAGATCTCAAGTAGATGATGCCTGTGGGCGCAGAGAGATTAAAAGTGAGGTGAAACAATAAAGATTGATGAACCACTTCTCAGCGCGCCTCCGGCCGACGCTGCGGATTCTTTCTCCGCACATTTATATGGTTATTATTATTATGCTTCTCAGCTAGAAATGCCAGTGAAAGTTGCGCAGCCCGCGGGGGTGCACAACTAAGCAGACGCGCACTTTCGTGGAATTTTATGGAAATTCCAGCCCCGCGAAGCCCTCCAGAGAACGCAATGTCTTTGTGGCTATTGAGGTGTTAATTGCGATGTCTTCATCTAAGCTCTTCTCTGTGCCTCAGCAAAGGCTTCTTTTGACCACGATTTGACTTGTGAATTCTCACCAACAATCGCCATTTGCGCGCCCCTCGTGAGACTCTGCCTGCATCTTCTCTGGGAGTTTCACGAGCAAACAGTAAACAGAAGCACTGCAAATGGGCTTTTTAAGTGTAACAAAGATCTCGCATTAGAGTGAATGATGGGAGGAAAAGAAACTCATCATGGGATTGTCTCAACTATCAATTCAATTGGAGCAATAAATGGATAAATGGCGTCTTTTTTCGGCAGTCGCAATTGCTCAAGAGCACCATTATCGAAAGAGTATCTATTGTGGGGGGCAAATTGCCCATAATAGCGGCCCATCAGTTGATTCTGGGAGGAAATCCATGTTTTTTTTGCACATAAAAGAAGTCGCAAGAGGCAACAATAAACAATAAATACGGTGTAGGAAAGCATGAAAAAAATAGGAAGATCTCTTGAGATTCACGCTCCAGAAATTTCTTTGTCTCGGACAATGATTTTCCTTCATTCTTCAACCGTCGGAGAACTCCCCATCGCAGCACCACAATTCCATCGTGAATGGCATCTATTGATGAACACCGTTTGCTGTGTGCAAGTGTGTATGATGAAAAATTGCAATGAAGCCTTCGCTCTTCTCATCTTTCTCCACATCTTTCTTTGGCTCTCTTATAACTGAACACCGAATTCTTCAAGTCTCGCGCGCGCGCGCGCGGGAAAAGAGAAATATTCCTCTCACTGCACTAGAAAAGCATGAGAGACTCTATAAATTTCCAATTATCGAGTGGAAAGAAATGGAAAGAAGAGCACAATGCGGAGATGCATCGATTTGTGCGATGTGGTCTAATGGCTGTGATTGGGAGGAAGAGAAAAGACTCACTTTCACCAGTGCTGGACGGCTCCAGTGTCCACAGTTGCTTCTTCTTCAGGCTCACGCCGTTGGCATTGAGTTTGTATCCGAATGTCTCTGCTGTCATGTACTTGTGCAGCCCATTTATCAGCCCGATCGTCCACCAGCCCTTCTGTTGATTCTGCGCCAAGAGATCCCCATTTGACGATCCATTCAGCTCGATGCTCTGCCCATTCATCTTCAGCAAGTGTGTGTGCGCCCACGGGAATCCTCCTCAGCTGGCTCAATCTGCAACAATTAAACACACTTTAATTGCCTCTTCCCAGCACCACTCAATTAACACGGAACAACAGTTAGCTCAACTTCAGCATATTTTCAAATTATTCGTCTCGCGCTCTAACAATGTATCGTGAAGGAGCACGAAAAATTTCTTTTACTTTCACACCGTAACTGTAACTCTGTTACTGTTCTCTTGGCCGCCTTGCCGCAATCTTTCGCGAAAAATTCTAACAGCCGCGCACAAGGAGAGACATTCCGTGAAATATTGGGCCGTTCTAATGAAGGGCCATTCAAGGGCAGCCTCATTAATTAGAATATGAAAACAGAGATGCGCCATAAATTCAAATTAACAACGCTTCTCATCTCTTCGCGGCTCTGAATAGACTCCGAATTGCCTCTATCGGCGCTGAATCAGCTGATTTACAGTCGATTTTATGATTTGGAACTTCGCGGAGGTTTTCCTAAAAAAAAATCATTTCACTTTTTACAATTTTCACCAAATAACGTAAATCAAATATCAATAAGATTGCTTATATGGAATTCGAAAGCAAATACAATAATTCAAGACTTACTTATTGATTTGCATACTTTCGTTTTTTCTAGTCAATTTTATTACTCTAAAAATGCCTCTATTTGAATATTATCACGAGGCTTGCAAGACTTTATTTGATCACATCCAAAGTTAGTTTGTCGGATGTCTCAAAATGATCCCAATCGGAATTATTTCAGTAGAATTTGGGTGTGTTAATCGAGAAGATAAACAACTTCTGAGAAACCTGATTCTTTCATCACAGAAATCAACAGCAATATAATTGATTTTTGTGATTCAAGTTCAGGCTAATAGTTCAGAGAATTCATGCTTCTTCTTCTGTTTCTCTTTTTTCTTATCAAATTCACTTCAGCATGCAAATATCGCCTGGGAAGCGCATATAAAAGTTGCAATGCATGAAGCAGAGAAAAGTGCATCGCAGGTCACGAAGATCACGTGAGGTGTAACAAATTTGTGTGGATGAGGAGTTCTGGTGTGCGGGAATAATTAGGAGTTCACAATGTGAAGATCTAGATCTTGAGGAGCACGCGCGCCACTCTTGCAGCATTTCACTCGCGAGACTCTCGCCAATGATTGCAAACAGCCATCGCGTAAGCGTTTCACTTTGCCGTTATTATTGTAATCTCCGAAGAAAACACTTGCCAAGAGACTCACTATTGATTGGAAAATCAAACTGTGAGCGTCATTGTTGGAACGCGTTCTGTGCGAAGCCTCAAAACCGCCCATTGTGGGCCTAATGGAAAAATTCACCACAGTTTCCCGAAATGAGAAAATACCCAACATGGAGCCACAAAGAGGCACAGAGAGAGATGTGCGAAGGCCCATGGGAATGGATGGCAATTAAGGTGTCTTTCAGCCATCCATTTGCCATGGACTTTTTCACAGACAGCTCTTGTGTGTCCCACGATTCCGTGGATAATGCGAAAATCCTGCCCAAATTGTCCCTTGTTTGCTGACTATTCACTTTTCGCTCCACTGACTGACCTTGAACTTGGCAAAAGTACATCGCGAAACGCGCCAGTGCCTCCAGTTTGAGAGTCTTTGGCAGTGTCTTGGGGGCAGAGAGATGCAGTGTGCATAGTAAATGAACGGTGCCATTAGTCATTCTAGTCGTGGTGTGCCAAAAGGGTCTCTTTCTGATGTGCTTTTTGACATACAAATTGCCCCGCTGACGACGAGGTTTTTTTTGTTCATGCCACGAGACGTGAATCATCACCCGAATGGCACAATGTGATATTTACAGTTTCCGGTACTTTTTAGATTACTTTCTGAAGCATTCTCTCCACTTTTTTCGCCTCCATTTGCCAGCGCAGAGACACCCAAATGATGGTGTACACGGTGAAAGAGTTATATTAAATGCTGTGCGGAAAGAATCCCAAGGCGGAGTTTCCGCGCATCCATATTTTAACACCAGCATAAGATAACTTTAGCTCCATATAAGAGGTAATTTTTCCACAGTTCAATTCCCGCATTTTGCTCTCTATTTTGCCATGATTTATAACACACTGCAAAGTGCTCCCCAAGAGAGCAAACCTCTCGCGCGCCGAAGAGAAACGCCACAGCGCCGAGGCTGAGAAAGAGTTCATTCGTCTTTGTTCTTGGAAATTGATTCGGTGAATCTTGACGATTATTAATTTGTAACACATGATTGCCTCATCTCTTTCCCTCTTCGCTTAGCGGTGCAGCTTTTCGCTTTGTTCATCTTTCGGCTTAATTTGCACAAATATATGCGCTGCTCGGGTGTCATTCTCACTTGCAAGTATGACGAATTGTCGGGAGTGATTTATGAACTTCTCAAGGAGGAACGGTAATAATCCGGCGGATGGCTTAAGATTGCATTTCTCTAGTAATGACTCAAAACTTCCTCAATAAAGCGGCATGAATATTTAGTGAGGACTCTTAACGAATTATTTTCACAACATTAAGTCAAGAATCTTCGGCCTGTTGGAGACTTTGTGGTCCGTTAGAAGTCTGGATGAGTGCAGAAGAACAAAAAGCAATAAAATTATGGAGGTCTTGTGTTACCGACATTTTGCCTAATGATTGATAATCCTGAGTATAGCTATTCTATTCAAATTTAGAAAGTTGAGGAAAAAGACTAAAAAATCTATTTGCATTTTGCAGAAATCAAGATAACTTGAAACGATAATCTCTCCCCCTTGGCGATACAATTTATTCACCTCCTCGAGCGAGGAATTTTCACCCTTGTCGAACCACTTCTCGAGCCCCTAATTTCTCCGGAAATTTGCATCTGAAATGGCACAATTCGGCCACTCTAAAGCCTCACAGTCAAATGATGAAGCTCAACTCATTACTCCCTCAGGGCCGGTAATCCCAAAATGCCACACCTTGTTTTTGCCACCGAAAAAACCACCCTCAAATTCCATCCACTCGAGCGTCCCGGCGTTTTCCCCGCGACGCCGCCGATGTTCCAATGTCATTAACTGTTTGCTATCTCAAGCGGGCAACTTCATCAGCACGCCAATGAAATTAATGTTGAGGACAAGGTTGAGGGCGAGGGTGTGGATGTGAAAAAATGCTCTTGCATGCAAAGACATGGTGTGTGGCGAACAATGGGAATTTATGCTAAGCATTTGAGGCAGAAAGAGCAGGATTTCAGCCATTTTGGCCTCAGACGCACACATACCTGGAAAACCTCCTCTCTATATTCCTCACTTCCTTTGGTAATCCCTCTCGGCGGACTCTTGTTGCGGGGGGCGGCGGCGGCGGCGGCGGCGGCGGTTCGTGGAATAATCCTGTGTGTGGCACGATTCTCTCAATTTCTTCGCTCACACACGCACTCAGAATTCTCACTCGCGAATTGTAATTGCAAAATGTCCGGTTAATGGTAATTTGTATTGCGAAAATGGTCAAATTTCCACACGCGCGCTTTGTCTGGGGCCACTTGAGAGCGTCGCCAAGAGTCGCCGGAGTGTGAGATGCCCTCTGGGCGGACGGGTGGAGAAAGAGGATGGTTTAAAAATACCGTGAAAGAGCTTGTCTGCGTGCCCGTCTTGCCTCTCCTGTGAGATCTCTTTTTCACAATTGCTGCGGAACACCGAGAACTCCGTCTGCACGATGCGATGGACAATCCGTGAATGACTGCTGACTCTAGTGAAGCTCTACTGAGTATCAACTCCACGGAGCCATGGAGAGGGAGATGCCGGAGCGAGACGACCTCTCGTGCCGTCCCGCTCCGGCCGGAGAACGACTCGCCGGCAATCTGCGGGGCTGTTTTGTTTGGAATCCACCGCGCAACTCTTGTGCACTCGCGTTCAGGGATTTCAAACCGCGCGTGTCCACAATTCTACGACGCCAAGAGTGATGTTGCAACACCGCGGACGCCTGACTAATGAAATTCCTGAGGAACACCACAGCTGAAAATGGTGAAGAATCACGAGAGAGACATGAGTTGTTGACCTCCGCGGCTGCAGTTCTTGCAGCGCTGCAAACTCCCATTCAGTGGCCGAAGGACTTCTTTTTGCCGACCAATTTTCACGTCCATCACCGCCGAGATCTTGCAACTCTTCCCTCGCCAGCAAGTGCGGCGGAGTTGCCATCGGAAACGCCGCTCCGCAGGGACAAGCCGGGAATTCAATAACTCCCAGTCTTGCGAGGGGTGCGCAAATATGGCTCTTGAGGCACATCTGAGTCGGCATTATCAATGCAATTCGACTCCAAGGAAGATCTATTGTCACGTTGAGAGCATTAGTTTTACTAGAAATACGTGAATCCTTATCCTTATTTATTTAATAAATATTATTATGGGTGAAGTGTGTTTTCTTCCTTTTGCGATGACGCGCCCCTCGAGTCTCTCCCTCGCATCTATACTCTTTCGGAGGGTGTTGCGTCGAGATTCCGGCTGCATGAAGAGGGATATTAATATTTTCTCTATTTTCCCCGGCTCTCCCGCCACCCTTGACGCCCCTGCTGTTTATTCAGCGGCCCAGAAAGTGTATTACCGGGGAAAGGAATGTCTCAATCGGAGGAGGAAAGAATTATGGCTCTCGCGTTGCCCTTGACACTGGCGAGACTTGGTGTGTTTGTGCGTCTGCAGAAGCAGAGCTGAATTTGACACAAATTTCCGCCTGCGATGCGTGCTTTTTCCGCGATGCCTGTGAAAACGGTGCGCTTTGTGATATGCGAAGAAGTGCTAACAAATATTATAAATAATTCAATTGAGTGTTTTTTTTCGTGAATTACATGCGCTTTCCGGGCGAAGACGTTGCGGAGATCTTCTTATATTGCTATAAAAAAAAAAGAAGATCTCGCGCGCGAGAGATGGAAGAGGAGATGTTTTTCTCTCTTCTCGGGCATTGTGTACAACATGAGTGCGGCGATTATGATACTGAAATTAAACTAAAGAGCTACCATTCCACTCCGCTCTAATTAGTTCCATTATTAATACACCAATTATTATTTCGTTCATATTTATTTTACTTTAATCTCAAGCAATAACGTAAAAAAAGGTGAATATTTCTAATTGATCATAAAATTATCATTCGTAATGAGATGGATGCTTTTTGCCAACTCCTCCGCTTGATCCCCTGCCATTTGGCCATCAATTCAGCTGTCGGATCGGCCAAAGACTCCTCCCCAATCTTTCACCGCGAGACTCATTTGCGCTGATAAGAATCTTGCAGTTTTTTTTCTTCTTCATACCTCACTTACATCTGATGAGGCCAGAGAGGAGCTTAATGGAGAAAGGTGCGCGCGCACATCGCGAATTGAGAAATTGCCACACACTCTGGCACAAAAATATATACAATTTTTGCAGTTATGATTTTTTTTCTTCTTCGACTCTTGGTCGGCAAGAAAAATTTCTTATTTTGCATTTTTTCCACTCTTTGGCTGCCTGACTCTCTCCAGCAATTTTTGATATCATCGCGCACTTGTGTGTGGCACTCAATGTGATAAAACACTCTGTGAAAACCATCCGCAAACAATCCTCCTCTCGTTAAGCACGTGTAACAGTGCGATAGTTATTGAAGTGTCTTATTTTTTTTGGCTCAGTCAATTTAGGAGAATTTCACATTTTCTTCCTATGCCGATGAATATCACAACGCTGAGAGATGGAATTTACATTGCAAAGTCGCCACTTTCTTCGATCACTCCAGTTCTCAACATTGTATTTCACTCTTTGGCTCTTGTCCAGCCATCTCTCAGCTGTTTTGACATCTCAAAGAGAGCCACAAATTTTCACCTTATAGCAAAAAGAAAGACAGACAGATTCAGATGTTATTGCGATCGGCGCAACGGCGGATAAATTAATCAAGAAGCCAAAATGCAAATGTGTCATATCGAGCGTGTCTATATTGAAATTTCTTATTTATTTCAACACTACCGTGCACTTGATCCGTTACTCCGCGCAGAATGGAGGAAAAAATGGTCTAATAGGATTCGAGAGAATGCTCTTATAAATCTCTTTGACTTGCTATCGTGCCTTTTGTGAGAGTTTCCATTGGGTATATATAATATTATTTCGAAAGCGCGCAGTCGGACTAAATTCTGGGATTGAACATAAGATTGAGTGAATATTATGTTAATCCGCTGGGCTTTGGCAACATAGAAAATTGAGAAAGTTTAGTGATACATTTTGCCACTGCAACAGTTACAGCAATAATGCAAATAATAGATAGAAGAATAAAAGAACAAACTGAGAACAGAGATTGAGGAAAAAGGCATTAGCAGTGTGTGAAATTTTAAGAACACATCTTGGCCGTGCAATTGCATATGCTTAGCATAAAATAAGTTAAGGGCCCTTTCTGCCTCAGAGCCCTCGAGCTGTTCTAGAAAGTTGTTGCGCTGGTGAGAAGACATCAATTTTTATTGAATAAAATTGCAGCTGAAACCGATGATCTGGCGTGAAATTATGCTTTGTTTACATTTCCCGGGTGAAAATGCAAAACATCTCTTTTGCATTCCAAATGCATTGCCACTGGCTTTTTTCTCCGACTAAGAAGAATGCTGAGAAGTTGTGAATGAATGAACTTCAGGCACTCTTATCGACATGTTCAACTCTCTTTCTCTTCCTCTCTCTGCGGACAAATTCAGCGATAACACAGCCCAAGACTGATAGTGTTATGGCTCATTTCTTGTGTGCAAACACTCAAGTTTGAGTATAAATTCATCTCAGCATACATTATTCACTATATTGGAAATCAATGCTTTGCATAATTGGTATAAAAAAGCCAAGAAATTTCTTGCATTTTTCCTTCTTATCTCTCACTCTCTGAACTCTTGCATGTCTCCATTCGCTTGGAGATCATCAGCGGCTATTAATAGATTTGCTGTGATATTTTTTGCCAAGAGAGGCAAATTTATTAATATATTAGGTATAAATTCCGAAAATGCCAACAAAACATTTGCTGATTATACGTGGAATTTCACGAAAATACGACCCTCAATCCACTTTTCACTAATCCACATTTTGAATGGTGCAGAAGAAACACGTTTAGAGTCATAATTAATCAGATACGCGGCGTGTGTGTTCGCAGTGTGATGAAGAATTGAGTAAAAATTGGAACGAAATTGCCCTGAAAATCAATTTTCATTCCAAATTGCGCTCAGCTGAGTGTGACAATTTTGGGGAATGAGAAAACGCGAGCAATGTCGAGCGCATCGCCATAATAACAGTCGCACAACAATATTTCCATCACACAAATTACATATATATAACATTGTTGGTGTTGAAGAAACAATCACGGAGTACATGAGTCTGTGGAATTGCAGTAATTAGAGAAATGCTATATCGCCAATCTATGAGGGACTGATCGATGTGTGAAAAAGGCGAGAAGAGAAGAGAAAGAAAATATACAATCTTTTTAAAATACAAGGCAACCGTTACAGTTTTACGCTCGATGGGATTTTTAACCAATTTCTCGTGGCGGCGCAGATTCTCTTTATCTCCACTGGCTTTGGCCTTCTCTTAAGACACAAATGCAATAATTAACAATTATAGTTATTTTGTTATCGTGCCAAGAGGCAATGCGAGCCTCCAGACACAGTTCAATGAGCCCTTCAAGAGCTCAAACGAAAAAAAATTAAATGAGAGTTTCTTCTCTGATAAATTAATGTTTCTCCTCTATTGGCGCTGCCCCATTCCCTCGCGGAATGACTTACTGTGAGACAGGCTAAATTTAACAAGACGCTTCACATTGTAATCTTGCGGTGCAAAAATTGCAGAGAACATTGTAAAAATTGTGTTTTTACTCTGACAGCAAAATCTCCTCATCACGTTGTCTCATTGTGCGTGAAAATAGGCGAATTTCCGTGGGAAAAAACCAATGATTTCAAATCCTGCATTATCCTTTAACAGTTGTACAGCTATAATTGATCCTTCTGAAAATAAATGTATAGAAAAAATCAGAAATTGCATTTCCAATGAATTTAATAAATATCTACGCTAAAATAGATTTTCACGCAGTTTCACGAGCTCCTTTTCTATTGACACAGACGCAACAAAAGGCATTACAAAGGATAAGAAGAGTTAATATTTAAAGCCAATGGGAAAAACTCACTATTTTTAGCAGTGTTCATCAACTACAATTCCAATTTGAATTCATTTGCTATCAGTAGTTCCACTACCGCGCGCTGGTGGCGCGCTGTGCCATCTGATCAGCGGAGGGCACATTTGACAGGTTTGCCCCCAGTGAAGGAAAAGGTTTGTGCAAACAAAGTGCGAACATCTCGTGTTTCTTGCAAAAATGGACTTTTCCCAGTGAAAAATTCCGCGTAGAATGAGCGTTTTCAGTATTTTCAAGTCCCAGCCTGCGCCTGAAGAGGCCACGGACGTTGCTGACCAGTCTTATTACGTGGTATTTTCGGAATGTGTCAAGGACAGTGTGCGTATTTGCATTGCTGATGCACTTCTTTGTTTACCGAGTGTCTCATTCCATCTCTTCCGCAGATCTTCTGGACAGTGGGCGCCTTCGCGTTCACCGTGATTATCGTGTGTCTGTACAGATGGCGGAAGTGGCATGTGGAGTCACTGGAGAAGATTGCCGCCAAGGCGCTGAGGATATCTGGCTATGAGAACACGCCCTATCGCTTCCGGAAGCGCGACAAAGTGATGTTCTACGGACGGAGGATGCTGAGGAAGATGAAGAGCTTCTCCGACCAGGCGTACAGTGGTCAGGGCAAGAAGCGGAAGGCGGTGATGCGCTTCGCCAGTCGCATTCTGCAGATGCAGAAGGACAACATGCCGATGCAGCTGAAAGTGCTCGAGCCTCCGGCTGAGTTCCTGGAGGAGAGTCGCGAGGGGAGTCTCGGGATGCCCCCAGATGTGCTGTACATGCTGCAGAGCATCAGGATTTTCGGACACTTCGAGAAGCCCGTGTTCTTCAAGCTGTGCAAATTCACGGAAGTCATCAATTTGCAGGCTGGTGAGTTTCTCTTTAAGATCGGCGACACGGACGACAGTGTGTACGTGGTGCAGACTGGAAGCGTGAATGTGTTCATCAACAATGCCGATGGCACGACGATGTCGCTGAAGATCATCCGCAGTGGCGAGTCTGTGACTTCCCTGCTCAGCTTCATCGATGTGTTGGCGGGATGCTCGAGTATCTACAAGACGGTGACAGCCAGAGCCATGGAGCCCACGCAGGTCATCCGGCTGCCCATGTACGCCTTCAAGGAGGTGTTCGACGAGAGTCCGGACATTCTGGTGCGCGTGGTGCAGGTGATTATGGTGCGACTGGAGAGAGTAACGTTTACGGCGCTGAAGAATTACTTGGGACTGCATTCGGAGTTGGTTTATCACGCGCCCAAGGCGTCCAAGAAGTCCGAGAAGGTGAAGAGCTCTCCTGGCCACAGGAGGACCAATTCGACGTATTTGGAGGAAGTGATGGCTCTCTATGGTCACTCAGGAGATCGTCCGGACATGCTGGCGGATCTGGCCACCACCGAGTGCGCCACGGGCTCGTGCGGACGGAAGGTGTCAGTGGTGAAGATGTGCGACGAGAAATCAATCCACTATGTCTACGCGCTGGACAGCTTCGTGCGGGAGCTGGGGCTGCAGGATGAGGACAAGCACTTGCTGGAGGGAGCGATGGAGGTGAGGGAGTATCAGGCGGGAGCCACGATTATCCGGGAGGGAGACAACAGTGACAATGTGTCCATGATCTTCCTGCTGAGCGGGAATCTGCAAGTCTACCAGTACAGATACACTTATGCCAATAGTGGCTCCATCAAGCAAGAGAACACCGAGAGCCACGTGCAGTCCATTCATCCGGGTGAGTTTGACGGAGGACTGGCTGTGATCACTGGCGAGGCGAGTCTGTACACGATCAGGGCGAAGCACTTCTCCAGAGTGGCTCTGCTCAGTCGCTCCACAGTGTACAATGTGATGCGCGAGAGGCCAAAGACCGTGCTGGACATTGCCAGCAGTGTGGTGAAGAAGCTCTCGCCTCTCGTGAGGCAGTGCGACTTCGCGCTGGATTGGATCTTCCTGGAGTCGGGCAGGGCGGTGTTCAGGCAGGACGAGCCCAGCGACAGCACGTACATCGTGCTGAGCGGCAGAGTGCGGGCCGTGTCGACGCACGCGAACGGGAAGAAGGAGATCGTGGGCGAGTACGGCAAGGGAGATCTTGTGGGGCTGGTGGAGATGATCACGGACACCACGAGGACCACAACAGCGATGGCCGTGAGGGATTCTGAGCTGGCGAAGCTGCCGCAGGGTCTTTTCAATGCCATCAAACTGCGCCATCCGATGGTGGTGACGCAGTTGTTCGGGCTCCTGAGTCACAGACTCCTGGGCTCCGTCCAGGGAAGACACTCTCTCGCCATGGGGCCGCAGTCGGTGGAGCCCAATCCCATCAATCACAGATACTCAACAGTGGCGATTGTGCCGGTGAATGAAAACGTGCCGCTCTCGGCGTTCACGTACGAACTCTATCACTCACTGTCGGCGATCGGGCCCACGCTCAGGCTCACGTCGGATGTGGTGCGCAAGACTCTGGGGGCGAACATTCTGGACAGCGCCAATGAGTACAGGCTGACGAGTTGGCTGGCGCAGCAGGAGGACAGGAACCAAATAGCGATCTATCAGTGTGACAACATCGTCTCGCCGTGGACTCAGCGATGCTGGCGACAAGCTGATGTCATCCTGATCGTGGGCGTGGGAGATCACGGTCCTGGCGTGGGCAGCATGGAGAGGGAGATCGACAGACTCATGCTGAGGACGCAGAAGGAACTGGTGATTCTGCATCCGGACAATTCCACCACAAAGCCCACGAACACCGTTCAGTGGCTGAACATGAGATCCTGGGTGATGAAGCATCATCACATTCAGTGCAAGAAGAGGATGTTCACCAGGAAGAGTCAATACAGAATTGTGAGTATGATCAAGAGGGATTTTCATGCGAATTACTGAGGATTTGTGTGTTTGCTTGCAGACGGAATTGTACAACAAAGTGCTGCAGACGGAGCCCAATCTGCACTCGGACTTCTCCAGGCTGGCCAGATGGCTCACGGGCAACTCGGTGGGTCTGGTGCTGGGCGGCGGAGGGGCGCGTGGAGCGGCGCACGTGGGCATGCTGAAGGCTATTCAAGAGGCTGGAATCCCCATCGATATGGTTGGCGGCGTGAGCATTGGGGCGCTGATGGGCGCTCTGTGGTGCTCCGAGAAGAACATCACCACCGTGACGCAGAAGGCCAGGGAGTGGTCAAAGGTTAGACAGTGTGTCTAAGCAATTGAGGGAGAAGAAAATGCTGAAAGCGTGATGATGTCTTTGCAGAAAATGACTCAATGGGGCCACCAATTGATGGACCTCACCTATCCCATCACTTCCATGTTCTCCGGGAGGGACTTCAACAAGACCATCAGGGACACTTTTGGGGACATATACATTGAGGATCTGTGGATTCCCTACTTCACCCTCACCACGGACATCACGGCGAGTTGTGCTCGTGTTCACACGCACGGTAAGTGAGCTTTCCACGTGATCCTGATCTCACTTTCTCATCCTTTCTTTCATATGTTCTGAGATTTTTACAAAAAAAAAAGATAAAGAACACTTCGATCAAAATCTCACTTCGCGCTCGCTAACGTAATTAACCATTTTCTGACTCTCCCGATCGATAACCATGATTGTGATTGAATTGGATTGGTCAGGATCTCTATGGCGCTATATAAGGTCATCAATGTCCCTCAGTGGCTATATGCCGCCTCTGTGCGATCCCAAAGATGGACATCTTTTGCTCGATGGAGGATATGTCAACAATCTTCCAGGTAAATTCTCACGCTATGCAAAAACAAAAAGAAATTAGCTTTAACTCTTCCTGTCGTTTGGCTGTTGTCAGAATCAATGGTTTTTAATTGGTCTTTATTTGGTCTTTATTTGGTTAAGAGATAATGTGTGATGATATATTGAGAAAAGCAATTGGTTGGCGGAAGCATTCTTTCTTTATTTGTTACACACTTTTCATTCTTTCACTTCCTCACATTTTCCTCTCTTCTTCCCTTCAATTCTGGGAAGTGTTAAACTGTCGCGATGGTGAAAGGGAAGCTCTGAGACTCTCTTTTGATATGATGTTGCACACATAAATTGTGAAGATTTCAGAACCATATGAAAAGGCATGAGAGAATCAATTGAAGAGCTTTTAATGACAATTATTGTGAATGATAATTATACTTAGGGTGCCTTTGGCGGTATTGTCGTGCGAGTATGAGTGTCGCGGGCATTTTTCCGCCTTTTTGTGATTACACGGATGGTCATCTTCTGCTTGATGGCTGTTATGTAAATAATGTGCCAGGTAAATTTGAGTGAAGAAAAGCACAAAAATCACTCATTTTCTCTCTCTCTCTTTCTCTGTCTTTCTGTGTAATGTGATTTTTTTTTGGTGTTGTTGAGAATTTTGTAGTTCACCACTAATGACACGTTTTATATCGTAAAGAAGAAAAAAAGAGACTTGTGATCACCATGAAAAAATTCCTCCTAATAAATTGCTTCCATTGATTTGACACAACGCAATTGCTTTCAGGGTGTTTTGATGGGGATTTTCAGACAGGAAATTAATTTGATTGAATTTGCTTCAAATGATATTTCAGCTGAAAATCTCTCGTGAAATTCCTGAATTTGCTTAAAATGAGGATTCTTTGTCAATTATCCAGTGTTATGCTTGTTGCTAACCTTCTGCTTTTCCCCCCTCCCGTCTAATCTGACGATCGCATCTGAAGATGCGGGAGAAGAAGGAGAAAAAACGCTAATAGACGTTCTGTAATTGCAGCTGATGTGCTGAGAGCGCAAGGCGCCGCCCATATAATTGCCATCGATGTTGGGAGTCAGGATGAGACCAATCTGACGGACTATGGCGACTACTTGTCTGGCTGGTGGCTCATCTACAAGAAGTTCAATCCCTTCACAACGCCCGTGAAGGTGCCCAACTTGCCGGACATCCAGTCACGCCTGGCGTACGTGTCGTGCGTGCGCCAGCTGGAGGAGGTGAAGAGCAGCGACTACTGCGAGTACATTCGTCCGCCCATTGATCAGTACAAGACGCTGGCGTTCGGCCAGTTCGATCACATCAAGGACGTGGGCTATGCCCATGGCAAGGAGGTGTTCGAGAAGATGACCAAGTCCGGCCGGATTTCGCTCTTCAACCAGTGGTATCCGCAAGAGAGTGGCGTGCAGAAGGCCACGCCGCACTCGCTCAACGAGTACACATTCACGGATCTGGCGCAGATCGTGTGCCGCGTCCCGGCGACGTACACCGAGAACCAGTACTCATCCAGTGACGAGGATGTGTACTTCGACGGGTACATCTCAGAGCCGTCCAGCCTGTATCCCATGGGGAAGCCGCTCAATCTCAAGCGCACGGGCGGATCGCTGTCGCTGTCGGAGAACGAGATGGACTCGGACGATTTGGAGGTGCCGACGCTGCTGCAGCTGAGCGGGAAGACCAAAGAGCGACTGGAGTCGCAGGAGTTCGAGAAGCGCAAGGCCACCGAGGAGTCACCGAAGAAGTCACAGTGAGAAGAGCCAGAAGATGCATAAATATAAAGAGGGAGTTTATTTTGAAGGAAATGACAGAGAGAGATTTGTACACTTGGACGTCAGCAGTCCATTTCCGGCTCATTGGACGACGTGTCATCGAGTTTGCCACCGTTGCGCCACATCACGTTGCACATCTCGCGCACCAGCGCCTTCTCGCCGTCATCCATTGGCACCGAGGGCGAGGCGGAGTCCAGCGCGACGTGGCCGCGATGGCGGTGATCGCGCTCGAGCTGCTCGCGCACTTCCAGCACCTGGAGCGCCCGCACCACGGCCTCCGGCCGGCCCGAGATGGGATCCTGGGCGGCCTGCGGCGTGGGTGTGGTCCTGGTGTTCTCCTCCTCCAGCTGTCGGATCCGCCGCTCCAGCGATCGCACGTACTGCAGCGTCTGATCGGTGATGGTCGGTCGGATGTTGAGTTCCTGCGTGGAACAGTGAATTAGTCACGTTTAGGCGCACACTTGCCATTTGCGCGATAATCACAAAGCATCTTCATATTTACGGGAATGCTCCTCTCGAAGTTCCTTATCATGGGCTCATCGGCGTTCGTGCTGGAGCTGCTTCCGTCTCCGTCATCGCGCACCACTGGCTCCATTGTGGCGCCACAATTGGAGCACACACGCGCCACGGAAGTGGCATTGGCGCGCTCCTCATCCAGATACAGACACAGATCCTTCAGCTCCAGATTGTCCCTGATCAATTCCTGTTGCTTGTCGTCCAACTGGCGCAGTTTGTTCTGTCCAAGAGAAGAGAAAAAAAATGTAAGAAATTGCCACTTAGAAATAGATCTTTGAGACTCTCACCTGATAAGCCGAAACCTCCTGACGCATCACGCTGGCCGTGTAGCGGCCAAAACGATGCCATTCGCGTGACAATTTGCGGCTCTTCTGGCGATCATCGTCGAGAAAGCAGCATAAATCTCGCAGCTCTTGATTATCATCACTCAAGCGCTGGTTCACTTCCTTCAGGGCTCTCAATTCAGCAATGAGACTCTGCAATAATAGAGCGATTGAGTGCCGAGTCGTGATTTGATCCTCCTCACGAAGTCAATTGTGGTGCAATTTGGCCACGAGAGAGAGATGCGGAAGAATGCTCTCAAGATTGTTGTTCCACTAATGCACAACATTTTATTCAACTTCTCCCGGAAAGGCCCGAAAAACAAAGTCACCGTTTCCATTTCCATTTCATCTCACATTTCGTAATTCCCCAATCGCGGAAGACATTAAATATTTATTTAGGAATTCGCGCGCCACAGGCGACACAAATATGGACATAAAAGCCCACAAATTCGCACTCTTGGAAGAACTCCGGCAATCTGTGTTCAATTCTTCGTGGGCGGATACGAAATATGTAATCAAACGCCGCAATGGATCTATTTTTGATGCGCGCGCGTCCAGGAAATGGGAAAATTGTGCCACACAAACTCGATGTTCTTCAACACCTCGAGCTCCAAATGCGCAGACGGCAGAAGAACAGCCAGAACAGCGCCTGAACTCTGCCATTTCGCCGTGACAGCAATTGTGCAATTTAATCCATTTCATGCGCTCCCACTCTGTGCCATCACTGGCGGACGGTCTGGCGGCGCGCGGTAATCAAAGTCGCGCAATTTCAATTGTTGGGCGGCAAAATGCCAGCAACACATCATTTTTCGCCACGAGGTGAAAGTACATCGACGAAGAGTTCCCAATAGAAATCTGCACAGAGGCAGAAAATGCAGTGTTGTTGTCGCCAACACACAATGATCATGAAAAATGTGTGAACTCTGCGCGCGATTGCTCTTCATCCGCACGGAAAAGAGATGAGATTCTCACCTACATTCATTAGTCACGTAGGCGGAATATGGCTTCAATTAGAGTCTGTCAGCGGCTGATGGCAATTTCTGGGACTTTCCGCGTGACTTTGCAATTATGAGAACATTTTGCGGTGACGAAGAGTTAACCCTTGAAGACTTTTTAGACTATTTGGGGGCGGAGCATTGAAATGGGCGTGGCCTGAGATCCTTCGCAACTCACCTGCAGATGTCTGTTGTGCTCCGCCGATGAGATTCTGCCGCCACTGGAGGACGTGGGCGACGGTTGCTCGCTGTCTGGCTTCCGCACGAACTTCAGCATCTCCTGCGTGGGCGGCGCAGAGGCGCTCAGTCTAGCGAAGGGCGGCTCCTCGTCTGTCGTCGCGGCTGGTGGGGGCGGAGGCGGTGGAGGTCCTGCGATCCTTTGCCCAGTGGCCGGTGCAGGGGCGCCAGGAGCTGTTCCGCCCTGGCTGAGGCGCAGCTGTACGCGCGGCGGGACGATGCGCGAGGGAGTCTTTTCCGGCAAGAAGGCGCCGGCGGGGTACTTGGGTCCGGGCTGGCTGGCGGCGTGGTCCGAGTGGTAGTAGGAGGCGGTCTGGCGCTTCAGGTGAGCAGAGAGCGTGCCCTTGAGGATGCCTCCTGGCGGCTGTGGGGGCGGCTGGTAGCGTGGCGGGTACTGGAGCTGTGACGGCGGGGGATTCTTCTTCGGCACTTGCTTGGCAGTGGACAGAGTCAATACATTTGCGGCTATCTTGTGATTCTGACTGGTGGACATGACGGAATTGGGTCTTCTGCGTGCTCTCTCTCTCTCTCGCTCTCTGGCACCTGCTAATTGTCCGGGGAGAGAGTCAGGTGATTGGGCAGAGATTCTCGAGTGGCCAGAACACGTTTTCGGCAGCGATTGAGGTCAACGTCGCCACTGGCTTGTCCGGGAAAGTGGCACAATCGGTCAAGATGAAGGCGAGAGGCGCACCAAAAACGAGTTTTGGCGCTTCCGACACTTCCGCCCAGAAGAGATCACCCGGGCTCAAGGTGCGCCCCAGTCAGTCTCACACCGAGACGCTGGAGACAATGGCGGCGCGCGAACCAAGGACCCCAAATCCCACGGCACTGGCAGCTGCCAATTCGGCCAGAGTGGAGGGCAATTGAACGCAAAAAGCCACAATTGCACTCACACACGCGCGGCCACTTCTGAACTTGTTTTTCTTGCGCGCACCACAAAAAAGACTGCCACAGCAGTTTCTCAAATTCCAATGCTCTGCACTTCCTCTCGACGCACGCACTGCACCACCCACGGCACTGGTAGCACGGGGTGCGTCTGCTTGGGGTGATCAGGGTCCTGGGGAACCCTGAAGTCCTCAGGAATTTTGGGCACCTCACCACACACTGTGCAATTTGACGCTTCACTGAAGCTTCCGAGTCGCTCTACAGTCGCACAGGCGACTCTTGGGCCCACCAACACACCGTCCGGAGATCATTCATGCTCACACCGCGGCGGCTGGATTGGGTTGAATGACTTGCGACAGTGTGCGTGGAGTCGCATTCCCGAGATCTCTTTCTCACCTCCGCCATTCATTGCCATTCTCGCGGGAGGCCTGAGAAACTCCCGGAATCTGAGTGGGGAAACAATGATGCTTTCCGATGAATCAATTCATCTTCAAAAAAGAGAGAGCCCAGGCAATAAATACCCATTATATTCTGCAATTTTCTGGAAAAATTCCACCGTCTTCTTCGTCGATATTTTAAAAACTGAGCAAATTGAGCTCCCACCAGAGGCGCTGCGAACTCACAGCATTTTTGCGCCCAGCGGTCTATCTGGCAACCCGTGAGTCACTCTGTGCAAAAGTGAAGCCGGCGTTGTCGTGGTGTTCCGTTGCCAGAAATACTCTGAATTCTCATCGTAATTCGCCAAGAGCGCACACAAAGTACATCACAAAGTGTTCCCCGTGGATTGAGGCGCGAGAATTGGTATAGTTTGCGCGTGAGGGCATTGTTTGAGTGGGGCTACTGGTGATTTTCTCCGAGAACGCAGCTGGAAGTCAAAATGGCGGATAATGACGACCTTTTGGATTACGAGGATGAGGAGCAGAACGATCCGGTGGTCGCAGAGGCCGCGGAGGCGCCCAAGAAGGATGTGAAGGGCACTTACGTGTCCATCCACAGCTCGGGCTTCCGGGATTTCCTGCTGAAGCCGGAGATTCTGCGTGCGATCGTCGATTGCGGCTTTGAGCATCCGTCTGAAGGTGAGTGCGAGCGGGACGGGCGATAACCTAGAAATCTTGGGGCGCTACATATTTCGCCATGTGATGAAACTTTGATAGGGACAACAGAATCCCCACATGTTTGATTTATCCTTTCTGATGGGTTTTGCACAGAGGAAAAGTGAAGAAGAGGCTTTCCGGAGATCCTTTGTGACGCTGTGTTGTTTCTTTTCGTTGCAGTTCAGCACGAATGCATTCCGCAGGCGGTGCTGGGCATGGACATTCTCTGCCAAGCGAAATCGGGCATGGGGAAGACGGCGGTGTTCGTGTTGGCCACTCTGCAGCAGCTGGAGCCCACGGAGAATCACGTGTACGTCCTCGTGATGTGCCACACGCGTGAGTTGGCGTTCCAGATCAGCAAGGAGTACGAGCGCTTCTCCAAGTACATGCCGGCCGTGAAGGTGGCCGTCTTCTTCGGCGGCTTGCCCATCCAGAAGGACGAGGAGATCCTCAAGAGCACGAATCCGCACATCGTTGTCGGCACGCCGGGGCGCATTCTCGCCCTCATTCGCAGCAAGAAGCTGAATTTGAAGCACCTCAAGCACTTCATCCTCGATGAGTGCGACAAGATGCTCGAGCAACTTGGTGAGTTGGCGATGAAAACAGCCTTTTATCAGTGAGTGTTTGTCTGACCTTTTGCTCTGTTTTCCACACCAGATATGCGTCGAGACGTTCAGGAGATATTCCGCAATACGCCTCATGGGAAGCAAGTGATGATGTTCTCAGCCACGCTCAGCAAAGACATTCGTCCTGTCTGCAAGAAATTCATGCAAGATGTAATTGTTGAACACTTTATTCCGTTTTCTACCACTCTTCCCGCCACAACTCCTCCAGAAGCACGAGTGAAGCCACGCCGGCTGCCCGCTCGACGATGGACGGAGGCGAAGACAAGTTATGGGGTCACTTGAGAGTCGCGCACATCCTGATCGTTGAGCCAAATGGGAATCTTTCTCAAAAAATACTTTTACTCGATAAAATCGCGTCTGGGTTTGGGTCTGATGGAATATCTTCTCCTTCTCTGCACGAGAAACGCCGATGGAGTGTTGCTGTTTGTTGGAATGCTGCTGCAAGAGCTCCTTATAAAAAAAAACACACCAAACTAAAATCAAACACTCTAAAAGATCAAAAACTAAAAGAAAGTGACTTTCACGGGAGATCCTGAGGAGACTTCATGGTTGATCAATCCTGGAAGGGCTGCACACATTGGCTGAGGCATCGCGGAAAGCTCGTAAGAGTCTCTCTCACTCACATTTATGCAGATGAAATGATGATGACTTAAATAATGGGCTTTTAACCACTGGAAGATAATACGAGAATGGATAAAAGGATGGCGTGTGAGGATGCTTTGCTGAGGCCGCGCAAAGACGACAATTTTGGACCCCATAACGTGTTTAGATGAATGCGAGTGGATGTTGAGTAATGAATTAATGGCTTGTTTTCTCCTTATTTTTGTCATTTCAGCCCATGGAAGTGTATGTGGACGATGAGGCGAAGCTGACGCTGCACGGACTGCAGCAGCATTATGTGAAGCTGAAGGAGAATGAGAAGAACAAGAAGCTCTTTGAACTACTGGACGTGCTGGAGTTTAATCAGGTGAAGAGATACTGGAAATTGTGTCAATTTTTCCCCCCACTTTTATCGCGCGGTGGTTTTGTTGTGCCAATTACACTGTGTTTTTCTTTGTCATTGGCATAATAAATAAGAGAAATATGAAGCGCGTGTGTGCAGAGCAAAAAAAAGCCTGACCCATAAATATGTCACACGAAAAGTGAAGTCATCAGCGCGACATGAAAAACTCATCATCCCATTTTCGCACTTCAGGTGGTAATATTTGTGAAGTCTGTGCAGCGCTGCATGGCGTTGGCGCAGTTGCTGACGGAGCAGAACTTCCCGGCCATTGGCATCCATCGTGGGATGGTGCAGGAGGAGCGCTTGTCGCGCTATCAGCAGTTCAAGGACTTCCAGAAGCGCATTCTCGTGGCGACGAATCTGTTTGGACGCGGAATGGACATCGAGCGGGTGAATATTGTCTTCAACTACGACATGCCCGAGGATTCTGACACTTATTTGCACCGCGTGGCGCGAGCCGGTCGCTTCGGTACCAAAGGATTGGCCATCACGTTCGTGTCTGATGAGGCAGACGCGAAGATCCTCAATGAGGTGCAGGATCGATTTGACGTGAATATCACGGAACTTCCGGATGAGATTGATCTCTCCTCATACAGTGAGTGTCTTCTTTGGGGATTTTCTGAATGTTTTTGGATGATTAAACACTCTTTTTTCTCTCCGACCATTTCAGTTGAGGGACGATAGACGTTGCAGAGCGAGTGAGACAGACAGATTACTGCAAACATTTACTTTACAATTAAGTAATTTCATTTAGTGGATAAGCAAGAGGATTTTGATTGATTACATACACTATGATGAAGAGAGAGACGAGAGAGTAGCGCTGAAAATGTGTTTGGCCACATTTCTTAACCGGCAGATAAATATAATTCTCACATTCACGATTTAGTAGACAAACTTCTTTTTTTAATGATATATCAAAATAAATGGATATTTGTGAGGAAAATGGTCAATTTTTCATGTTTCTGCGATTGCTGCGTTCGGCGGGGGCAAAATTTCAAAACATGGAAAGTTTCGCGGAATTGTGAATCCGCGTGTGGCGATGGCAGCGCCTCGCCGTGGCGGGTGTCAGTTGAAGATGTCATGGAAGTGAGGCAGGTCCGAATATTTTGCTGGCGATTTTTCGCGAATTTCAGTGCAAAGTGCTTGATTTGTGAGTGATGTAGTGGTGGCAAGGGTGCCCAATGACTGTGCCCCATTGTGTGGTTGTGCGAAAGGAGCGCCAAGTGCTGTGCGATAGACATTTTTCCATTGCGAGAGAAAATCGCATTTTTTCCCCCAACACGCATTTCGCCCACGGCCGCCGCGCGAGGCGCCAGTGTCGCCAGGGGCTCCTCAAATGAGACTGCAGCCCCAGAATGAGTGGTAAGGCGTCCGTAGGGCTGGGGCTCCTGCTGCTGGCTCTGTGCGGCTCCGCGCACGCCCAGACAGACGCCCCGCGGCCCGCCGCCCCGCCCGGACCGCCGGCCCCGCCGAGCCAGCCCTGCGACCGCACCAGGAGGATCTTCACGGAGGCGCACGGGGAGATCAGCGACGGTCCGTCCGGATTCAACTACACTCAGGTGAGGTCCTTGTCCGCTGCTCCCGGATTTTGTGGCTTTCGCTCGCCGTTGAGCAGCCGCGGGAGCAATATTGCAACCCATTGCGATTCAAGGGATTCAAGTGAGTGCCAAGAGTGGGGCTCTTCTCAGGAGGACAGGGCTGGACAGTCGCCCTCTCAGCTAGGGAAACTCTCTGCATTATAAAGCTAACAAAACATCGCTTTTTTGGGGAGTTTTTGTGCCATTTTTACACTCTCAGTGCGGTCAGTGCTATTAAAAACGCGCTGTTCACTTTTTATTTGGTAAATTTAGCGTTCTGAAACCGTGTCCGGACGGGCAAATTGATCTTGAGCATTCTCCGAATGGCGCACAACCTCAGCGCGGGCATTCTCGAGAATAGAACATCTTTGCATGGGTCCTAAAGCGCGAAACGCAGTAGTAATTCAGGGTCTTCGCGATGTGTTGTGCTTCCGTTACAGCGAATTATCCAATGAAGGCACTCGGCTAAATTGTTTTCTCCATGCGTGCGCGGCCACGAAGGTTTTGCCTGGCACTCTGCGAAAGCGCAAACCTTCGGCTGGCTTTTACCTCACACACAATCCGGCTGGCGAGTGAGCGGGCGAATTAGGGGGCGAGAGGGTGGGGCGCGCACCGTGAATGAGCAGAGCCTCAATATCTGATAATTGACGGCAATATGCGAGCGCGCGAGAGAGATTGTATGGTAAATAGTGTGCTAATTGGCGTGTTTTTTTTTCCATGCTTCTCTTTATTGCACATCTCCCAGGATTCACACTGCGAATGGCTCATCAAGGCGAAAAACGATAGTCAATATATAACGCTAACATTCCGAAGTATGGGAACAGAGTGCTCGTATGACTACATTTTTGTATACGATGGCGACAGCTTCAGATCACCGCTGTTGGGCAGCTTCAGCGGCAAGACGGAGCCTCAGCAGGTCGTCGCGACGTCCGGAAGTGTGAGTGTTTGTTTGGATGGAATTTGTTGGGTTTTCGGGGCGACGAGTGTGATTAATGGGATTTGTGTCTGTATTGCAGATGCTCATTCTTCTGTACAGCGACACAAATTACGTCCTGGATGGCTTTAAGGCTGAGTTTTCGGTGACAAACTGCCCGAACAACTGCACAAAGAGGGGAAAGTGTGTGAATCACAAGTGCATCTGCCATGGCGACTGGATGGGTGAGGATTGCAGTGGCAACGCCTGTCCGGATCGCTGTGGCGAGGATGAGGCGCACGGCGTGTGCTCGGGCGAATGCCGATGCCGCGATGAGTACTCCGGACAGAGTTGCAGTCTGCACAAGAGTCATCCGGTGGGCAATGAGTGGCACTGGCTGTCCAATTCCATCCAGGGATTGTCGCCAAGGGCGGCACACACGGCGGTTTATGTGCCAGAAACGGATTCCCTCTACGTTTTTGGCGGTTACGATCTCAATAACATTCTCAGTTCGCTGCAGGTGAGCAAATTAGACAGAGAATCTTAATTTGTGGGTGAGATAATGGAGATATTTCTCACGGTTCATCACTTTTTTTCTCTCTCTTAATGTGGTGTTTGTCTGGACAGATTTATCGCTTCGAGAAGAGTCGCTGGGAGGATGAATGGGGTGTGAAGCTGAAAAACTCCCACAAGTTCGATAAGACGCACGTGAAGGAGGCACTGGAGACAGACAGCAGTCAGTGGGGATTGAGTGCATCGGCCTCATTCTTCCGCAACACTCTCTCCACGCTGTCCACGTTCAATCAGTTCGCCATGCGCGACATGAAGTCTCAAATGCCCGCCAATCGCTCGGCTGAGGAGTTGATCGATGACATTCTGGGCACTTCGCGGCCCACGGCGAGATATGGACATGCGGCGTGTCGCATGCCGGACGGTTTCTTCATCTACGGCGGCAAGTTGGCCAATGGCAGCTTGTCCGGTGAATTGTGGTTCTACAATGTGTCTCAAGGCGGCGGCGAGTGGCAGCTGAGGGCAAGGAATTCGAGCGTGAAGCCGCCAGCTCTCACGCGTCACACTCTCACTTTAGCCGGTGACTATTTGTACTTGTTCGGCGGCAGTCGAGACAATGGGGAGTTCTCATCACGGTGAGTCACACAGAGAGTGTCGCACCAGCCAGACAACTGGTGGACGGAGTGTCAGGTTGCTTCCTTCAGCAGCCACTATCGTAACTGCACACAGAAAGCGAATGGCGCAGAGCAGATTACGATATCGTGGTTGAGGGAGACGCAGCGAGACGAGAGTTCGACAAACTTTACTGAAATGTGTCTGTGTACTCTTATTTCCAGATTGTTCAAGATAAAGGTGTCTCAGAGTGATGACGAGGAGCAGCAGCAGCAGTTGGAGTTGGATGATCAGTGGCTGGAGGTGTCGCCGCGCGGTGGAAAGGTGCTGGATGTGAGAGTTGTGGCGCACACGACGGTGTATCACAAATCGTCCAACTCTCTGATTGTCTATGGCGGTGTTGTGGCCGGCGTGGCGCGCTTCTCGAAGCTCTCGGACAGGATGTTCGCCTTTCAGCTGGATAAGTTGCACTGGACGGAGATTATGTATCCGCGAACGCCACTGCGGGATGCTTATATTCCGCGCGAGAGAGCTTTTCACACCACAACGATTGTGGGGAATTATCTGATTGTCTTCGGTGGATATTCGCACAGGCACAACAAGGAGGAGATCTGCTATGACAATCAGATGTACTTGTACCATCTGGGATGTCACACGTGGGTGAATCAGGATGTTCTGGGTGTGGGCAAGAGAACGCGATATCCGAAGCAACAGGGTGTGTTTGCCCATGCGGCGTCGCTGAGGAATAAGAACACGCTGCTGATTGTGGGCGGTTATCATGGGAATGTCAATGGAGATCTGCTGGCTTACACGCTGCCGCCGATACTGGTGATGAAGGATGAGGAGACCTTTGAGCCTGAACCACTGTGCTCGAAGCACTCCAGTGTGTCTGAGTGTCTGTCGGATCCTGAGTGTGGCTGGTGTTCAGCTGATGGTGTGTGCTATGGCAGAACTGTTGGGGCGAATTGCACCACTAATCTCCAGACGACCAGATGCCCGGGAATCTGTCCAGCACTGGGCGATTGTCACTCGTGTCTGCTGCACGGAGCCGTTGATACTGTGGACAAGAGTCATCAGACTGTGGCACACAAGCTGGGCCTTGGCCAGTGCTCGTGGTGTGTCCAGAATGCGCGCTGTCACCACAAGGATGACAATTACGGTGTTTGCGGCGAGGACACGCCTTCGCAGTCGCCCGGATGGTGGGGAGAGAAGGGCACGGAGATCTCGTCGGCGGACAAGTGCACGGAATTGGACAGGAGGCCCGGATTGACGTTCATAAAGTATCTCCATCCGGTGAATTGGACGATGCCTGACCAGGTGACGATTGTGAATGCCACAATGGTGGACTTCAATGCGCCCTCGTCAAACACTCACACCGAGCAGTCCTTCCAGGGCGACATGGTGGCGAGATTGGCGGGCTTCATCAGGCCGCCACAATCGTGGGATAAAACAGGTGAAATGCTGAGAGTTTGTGCGAGTTATTCTGAAGCAACTCTGCGCATGTCAACCGGCATTGATGTGAAGCTGGCGGCCAATATCACGTCGGAGGCGACTTACTGCACGAACGCCGATTGGCCGCCGCTGAAGAGCAGCAGAATCATGGTGGACTTCCAGGCGAGGCGCAATGTGGGCCTCGGCAATACTTACCATCATCAGCATCACAGCAAGATGGGTTTGCAGCACAACAGGACGAGTGAGAATCCCAAGGCATTCACCTTTGAGTATCTGGAGCCCTTCACGAATGGCAGCAAGAGTTGTCACATGTACAAGAATTGTCTGCACTGTCTGTCGGACTCGGCGTGTGGCTGGTGTGATCTCACGGATTCCTGCCTGAGGCGCACGGACAATGAGATTCAGCAGTGCAGACGCGATGGCGAGTGGAAGTACTTGACGCTGCAGCCGTCGCACTGCGCCAACTGCTCGAATTACATCTCCTGCGAGCAGTGCGTGGAGTCCGGGCTGTGCGAGTGGTGGGCAGAGGACGCGCGGTGCTCGAGAAGGGGCAGAGCACCGCTGGCTGTGGCGGATGTGGCTCTCTGTCCGGCTCCCTGCTATGCCAGGGAGACGTGCTCGGCGTGCCTGGACGAGAGGGGAAGGTGCGTGTGGTGCGAAGCCACGCAGCAGTGCTTCAGCTTCTCCGTGTACACGAGTGAGTATCAGTTTGGACTGTGCCGCGAGTGGTTGGATCAAACGATGCCGCTGGCGTCGATGCAATTGGACAGCGTGACGTCGGATGAACATGCGCTGATGGTGCAGCAATCGATGCCGACGCAGCAGTGCAAATCCTGTGCCAGATTCTCCAATTGCACCTCGTGCTTGAGATCACTGAGCTGCGGCTGGTGCTTCGATCGGGACAATCCCATCGAGGGCATTTGCATGCAGGGTGATTTCAACAGATCCACGGACAACTGCGCCGCTGCCTTGAACACGACACAGCAGGAGGCGGAGTGGGCTTATGCTCAGTGTCCGGATGTGGATGAGTGTGGCCTGGGACTACATGATTGCCACAAGGAGGCGAAGTGCACGAACACACACGGATCCTACAATTGTCACTGTCGGAGAGGATTTATCGGCGATGGGAGAACATCGTGCGTTCGCACGTGCTTCGAGACGTGCATTCACGGGTGAGTTGTGTCTTATTCTCTCTCTCTTTGTGGTATCAATAATCCTGATCTTTGTGTTTCTTCCGGCAGATACTGCGAAGGAGCGCCGGAGTACAAGTGCGCCTGCAACTTGGGCTGGACAGGGGCGGATTGCAGTATCAATTGCGGCTGCAACAATCACTCGACGTGCATGGAAGCGGTGGGACAGTGTGATGAGTGTCGCAACTGGACTGAGGGTGAATTCTGTGAGAGATGCTCTGCGGGAAGCTACGGAAATGCCACATCAATCGTCGGCTGTCAGCCGTGCAATTGCAATGGACACGGAAATGAGGCGTTGGGTGTGTGTGATGTGCAAACGGGCGAGTGCTTCTGTCAGGACAACACTGAAGGGATTCACTGTGAGATGTGCAATAGGGAGTTCTATGGAGATCCTCGAGATGGTGGTCAGTGCTTCTTCCAGTGCGAAGCACGAGGAATGCTGACACACATTGGACGCCAAGGAATTGGATCGATGCAATCGCACAAGTCCATCTGGACGGGTGGAGCTGAGACGCGGGAGTGTCTGTGGATAATCAAGCCGAGAACTTCGGGTGGAGCACTGCTGAACACCAGTTTGATTCAGTTGCACATCAACAGGGACGATCTGAATGTGTCGTGCGTGGACAATGCGGTGTATGTATACGATGGCTTGCCGGATTTGACGGGGAATACGCAGCAGAGTCAGCTGCTGGCGGTGTTCTGCAATCAGGACAGCACGGCGATGACTGTGGAGGCGCACACTGGTCACTTGACGGTGTACTACAGACAAGGACCTGTTGGGCAGGGCTTCAATGCCATGTACAGCGTTCACAGTTGCGCCTCGGGCACTTGTCAGCCGCCGCACGTGTGCAATGCGCAGGGGAAGTGCGTGTGTCCGGAGGGATTCATGGGTCCGCACTGTCGCATCGAGAGATGCCCGGGAAATTGCAGTGTGGCCATGAATCGTGGCAGTTGCGACATGTCCTATGGACGATGTCTGTGCGCCAAAGGATTCGGCGGTCCGGATTGTTCGGTGAAGCTGACGCACAGAGATGTGGTGATCTCGGAGCTGTTCAATTCGCAGCTGATCAACGAGAGTCTGGAGCACTTGCGGAAGACTCTGCCGCGCTTCGGGCACTCAATGGTGGCGGACAAGAGGGCGTCGTTGTGGATGTTTGGCGGCTATTCACTGTCTCACGGACCGCTGAATGACATCCGGCAGTTTGACACGAAGAACAACACGTGGATGCAAGTGACGGTGGATTCCACGGCGGAGGCGAAGATGCCAGAGGGAAGATACTTCCAGGCGGCTGAGATTGTGTTCTCCAAGCAGGCAATCTTTGTGTATGGCGGCTTGACTGGCCAAGGAAAGGGACACGCCAACAACATTCTGGGTGACTTCTGGCAGTTTTCGCTGCAGAATCAGCGCTGGGATGAGGTGGAGATGGATGAGGTGAAGCCGCCGCCGCTGGCGGGACACACGCTGACGTTCGTCAAGGATGGCGACAGGGAGTGTCTGGTGATAGTTGGTGGGTTCTCGACGGAGCGCGGAATGCAGAACGAAGTGTGGGAGTATGACATCAATGCCAGGAAGTGGGAGAAGCTGGCAGCAACGGGAGCTGGACCGCCAGGCGTGTATGGACACTCGACAATCTTCCACGCCACCACGAAGTCGCTGTACGTGTTTGGCGGCGTGGAGTTTGAGGGCCAGAAGACGGAGATCTCCAACAAGCTATTCGCCTTTCACTACTCCAAGATGCTGTGGAGTGAATTGCCACTGTTCGAGGACATGCTGAGGGGTGTGATTCATGTGCCGCGCGGAAGATTCCTGCACTCAGCCATTGCCACTGAGCGACACATGCTGGTCTTCGGCGGCCAGACGCATCCGTACAACAGTTCAGACGTGATGGCGGCTTATGTGTTCAAGTGCAACTACTGGATCCGGATCACGGAGGAGATTGCGATTGTGGGCAATCTGCCGTCGCCCACGTACGCGCAGGCGATGGCGTATGAGCAGGACAGCGGAGCTCTGTACGTGATTGGCGGCTGGGATGGCAACACGAGGAGTCGCGTGACGAAACTCCAAGTGCCGGGCGACATTTGTGAGTTGTGGAGCAGCACAAAGTACATGTGTCGCATGTTCATGGGCTGCAGCTTCTGTTCGGTGGAGAACACCAATCACTGCTTCTCCAGTGGCGGTTCTGAAGTGTGCACGGGCATGAATTCCAGGACAATCTTCAACTATGGCGCTCTGTGTGATGAACACTTCATGGCGAAGCGCAAGTGCTCCAATTTCACCACTTGTTCATCTTGTCTGGCCATTTGGCCGCCTCATGCCGAACTGGGATCCATTTGTCGGTGGTGTGAGGGATGCGGTGGCGAAGGGAAGTGCATTAAGGCGAATCAGGAGTGTGACAAGGATGACGATGGATGCGGTGTGCCGCCGACGATGGTGGCGAATATCAGTGAATGTCCGAACTTGAGGTGCGAAGCGACGGATTGTGAGAGTTGTCATGCACTCACCGGATGTTCCTGGTCGCAGAATGGCACGGATCCGTGGCAGTGTGTGACGTCGGAAGTGGTGGAGGAGGAAAAGTGGTCAACGAGTGTGGGATCTTGTCTGCCGAGGTGTCACACGCACAAGAACTGCAGCACTTGCTTGGCCGCTCACGCGTCTGAAGGCGGCTGGGAGCATTGTCTGTGGTCCACGCAGCTGAATGAGTGCATTTCGCCGAGTTATCAGCCTCTCTACTGTGCCGGCGGAGTTTGTGGATTGGTGTTGACGCACGAGGATGAGCTGAACTGCCCCGAGCCGTGCAGTTCCTTCACGATGTGCTCCACATGCTTGAGGCACGCTCACTGTGGGTGGTGTGCGCGGGAGGGCGCCGAGGGGGATGGCGTGTGCACGGAGGGCAGCATTGAGAGCCCCACGGAGTATCCAGCCGCTTCCACGTGTGACATCATCTACGCCAGTCGCCACAACATCACCACCGTGGATCCGCAGGATGAGTTCAAGTGGTACTACGTCCAGTGTCCGCCTGAGGATGAGTGCATCAATGGCCATCACACGTGCAGCCCGAAGTCCGAGCAATGCGTGGATCTGGTGGTGGGTTACGAGTGCGTGTGCGCTGTGGGGTATCAGGAGGATCAGGGCGAGTGCATTCCGGTGTGCACGCAGGGCTGCGTGCGTGGCAACTGTCTGGAGCCGAATCTGTGCGAGTGTCACTTTGGCTACGTGGGCGCCAACTGCAGCATCCAGTGCCAATGCAATGGACACTCCAACTGTGGCGGACCGGATCGCCTGGATGAGTGTCTGGAGTGTCACAACAACACAATGGGCGAGCAGTGCGAGAAGTGCCAGAGATTCTTCGTGGGCGATCCGCGGAACAATGGCGAGTGCATTCCGTGCAATGACTTCTGCAATGGCCACTCGGATCTGTGCGTGATGAAGTCCTCTGACGCCCATGTGTTCAATCTCACGCGCAATGAGCTGGAGAAGTACTTGACGGAGGGACCGAGCGTGGACGCCGTTTGTCTGCGCTGTGACAATCGCACGGACGGCGATCGGTGCGAGGGATGCATTCCGGGACACTTCCGCGAGACGGTGAATCACAGAGATGCGTGCAGGCCGTGCGAGTGTCACGGCCATGGCAACACGTGCGATCCCGTGACTGGGGAGAAGTGCAATTGTGGCAACAACACCGAGAGCGACGCCACGTGCTCGGCGTCGGCCAGCAAGAACTCCGCGCAGCAGTGCTGGAGTGTTCAGTGCTCCAAGTGCAAGGAGACGTACAGTGGGAATCCCATCGAGGGACATCAGTGCTACAAGCACATCAATGTGGAGTCAAAGATGTGCTTCGACGCCAAGATCATTGGTGAGTGGTTTGACCGTCAAAATTGTCCTCCTCTTGTGCTGTTGTGACCTTTCTGGCACTGTTTAGCGAGTGTTTAGCGTGATAAAGTTTGTGTTTTATTAGCAGAGCACTGATTAGCATAACTGGAAGCTCTTAAAAGAGTGGATTTTAGAGTGAAGAGAGTCTAATATGGATTGTTGTTTTCCCCCAACAGATGAATGCAAGATCAAACCATCACCGCTGAAGCCTGGCCAGACGGTCTTCTTTGTCATCCAGCCGCGCTTCATGAATGTCGACATTCGGATCATTGTGGACGTGACACAGGGTGAATTGGATCTGTACATGAGTCCACAAGAGGATTCCTTTGTCGTCACAACCAATCAGTCCACGGGATATCATCACATCTCTCTGGATCATCACTATCGCTGGGTGACGGAGATCGATTCGGACATCATCACGCCGCTGGACATCAGTCCGGCGACCAAGTATGACTTCGACAACATGACCATCACGTCTGAGGAGAAGATCTTCTGGACGCCACACATTCATGACTGCAAATCGCTGAGCGGCAGCGGGTTTTACGTGAAGGACAAGCACGCCAAGGATCTCAGCACGTACATCACGCTGAATCAGTGCAACACGCTGCTGAGGGTGTTTGGACTGAGGAATCGCCTGGTGCTGACGCTGCCGCAGAATGCGCACAATCTCAGCGCCACGCGCTTCTTCATGGCGCTGAAGGCCAGCGCCGGACCGGCCGCGAGCTATGGGCTGGTATTCTTCCGGCAGGATCAGCTGCACATCGACCTGTTTGTGTTCTTCTCCGTCTTCTTCTCGTGCTTCTTCCTCTTCCTGGCTGTGAGTACAAGTTGTGGACTTTTCTGGGCATGTTCTGAGGCTCTTTTGCTTTGCAGGTGTGCGTGGTGGCGTGGAAGGCGAAGCAGGCGGCCGACGTGCGCCGCGCACGCCGACGACATGTGGTGGAGATGCTCCACATGGCGAAGCGCCCCTTCGCCACCGTCACGCTCCATGTGGATCCCGACGCGGAGACGCCGATGCAGCACCGGCGCCGCGGGCGGGTGAAGCAGATGATTGCTCATGGGCAGCAGCATGACGTGCGTCCGGTGGCTGTGGAGCCCACGGCGGACGGCGTGGCGGCCGTGGGCACAGTGTTCATTCGTCTTCCCGGCAAGTATCGCAGCCCCGTGGGCTTGGCGCTCGCGTCGGCGCTCATCACGCTGCCCAGGATGTATCCCACGGGCGGCAGGGCGTTCCTCCGACGGCGCGGCTCCAGCCACGGGGCACCACAGCCAGCTCAGCCAGCGCCGGCGCCAATGCAACCGCCCAGAAACAACTAGTATTAATTCCTCGCTGAAACTGCACAGAGAGAGAGAGTAAAAATGAAGAGAGTTTCGGTCGGAAATGATTGCTCAAGACATTTTCTCGCATTGAGAGAAGGGAAGGAGAGAAAAGTAATAGATGTTATACACAGTGTGAATCAATTCCTATTTTAATGGCGCACCAGAGATAAGAAAAAAAAATATCACAAAAGAAATCAAATGTGACAATATTAAGTAGTGAAAGGGAAAATGAAATCCTTCAGAGACAATTTGTAGCACATTTTACCCCCCATTTAAACATATAAATACGTAGTGAAAAAAAGAGAAGAAGAAATAATAATGTCGCAAACTTTGCAGCTTATCTACAACACAAAACACCCAAAACATACACACACTGAGGAAACCACTTGGCGAATAGACAGGAATCTCCCGCGATCTTTTAAGTTGTGGAAAGTAATATTTGTGATCATCTCGTTTTTCCCCGCAATAAGTAATCTCGTAAGTCCTGTAAAGATGTTCCCGACAAGAGTGAAATCCATCCTTATTGATGTGTATAGAGCGTAGAAAAAGAGAGATAAAGAAAGGAGGAGAATTGAGAACCCGTAGTTGTATTCTCGCAGTGTAAATGTTGCCCTGAGTTGTTCAGTATATAGAAAAAGAGAGAGAGAAGCTGAAGAGGAGGATAAATGTATTTGTTTTCGAAAATGTATTAACTATATTGTAAATAATAGGAGATTAAGAGATTGAGACACGTTAAGATTTAGTTGTGGTGTGGAGAAGAAGAAGAAAAGAGAGAAATCAAAGAATAGATAAAAAAAAAAGCGTAAAATTAGATGAGAGAATTTTCTCCTAACTTGTTTGTTGGTTGTGCATTTTTCTCTTTCTTTTTATCTTAAAGAATATTCTTTTTAACAAGAAATTGAGATGATTTCGTGACAATTTTTCTTTTAGGATTCTTTTTAGTCATTATATTCTTTTCTTACCATCCTTGTTTGTATGATAAAAAGAAAATAGTCTATATAAATTCTGTCTAGCTTGTAAGTTTTCCTTTCTCTTTTTTTGTTTGTTCTTCTGACGGGACAAGGACGAGGTTTTTGTGTTTTGATTTCGAGAAAATAAGGCAAAAAAGACAAAATTATTTGTAGCACTTTTAGCGGTTACGAGGTTGGGGATGAAATGAATTTAATTTTTGTAAAATCTATTGAAAAAATGGACTGAGACAAAAAAAGGTTACACTATATTGACTTATATTTAAAATGAAGAGAGAAAGATGAAAAGAGAAACGCGTAATGACGAGAAAAAGTATTTAATTGTATGAGGGTTAATTAAGATTGGAAATATATATCAAATCATTGTAAGCTCGCGTGAGACTTTTCTGCCCCTCCCGGAAGCAATCTAAAATCTACATCGGCACTCCGTAGGCGTCCGGCATGCGCTCGATGGCGTACTTGTGCTGCGCCACGTACATCACCGGCACGCCGGGAATCTTGCGGATGCGATTCCGCAGATCCTTGTCATTCGTCGCCACGATGTAGCACTTGTGCTGCGTCACCCTGTTCACCAGGCAGTCGTCCGCGTAGGTGCCCTTGTGCATGCACGTCAGCCGCTCGAATCGACTGTCCCGGACAATCTGCAGGGCCACCTTGTGCCGATGGCCCATCTTCTCCAGCTCCGCCATCACGCAGTCCGTCACGTACGGGATACACTTGGCCATCAGGCAGTCCATCATGCTCTTGATGATGTCCAGTTTGCTGCGGATGCTGAAGTTGATGAAATTCGTGTCCACGAGGATGTGATACGGCGGCCCCAATTGTGTGTTGTACTGGAAGAAGAGCGCCGAACTGACTTGCGGGGTGTCGTGGATCTTTATCACATGGGGGTCTGCTTTCTTCTTCTTCGGGGGCGCTCTGTCGGCCGCCTTCAGTCGATTGTCGCGTGGCTTGATCATCCTCTTCAGCCCTGCCAGCCGTTGCTTCTGAATCTTCTGTGTTTTCTTCTGCTTTCCCTGCAATTTCAATTCACACACTTCAATTCCCCATCTTGCTTAGCATTTGCCACCCTCCTTACCATATTGTCTAGTCTGTTTTTCTTCCTTTTCCTCCGATTTCTCGAGCAATTTACACTCCTTGAAAATGGTAAACAAATAAATCTAACCTCACATTTTCCCGACATGCACGTTGAGCGACGACAGCTCCATCGGGCGGAGAAATTTGAGTGTAAAAATGGTGGTGTAACGTCTCTGGCTGAACATTTATTTTTGTAAATCACATTCAGAAATTAATTGTGGGCACTTCCAGGTCAATCAGATGCGTGTCATCTATCTTCTCCTCCTCCTGACACGCCATGGAGCTCGTGAGGAGGGCATAGTCCGGCTGCACAGCTTCCTGGTGAATGAGTTTCTGCTGATCGAGGCTCATGATGCAGTTTTCAGTGTCGCTGGCCAGGAATTTCATCTCGTCGAAGGAGGATTCAGAGTTCTCCAGCAAGTTCAGGCACGTCTCGGCATCACTGGTGGGCTGATGGGCTGGAAACGGAGAGAAATTGCTGAGCGTTGTCCACTCGAGAGACAAATTGCTGCGCTCAAGGCACAAATTCTGGTCAAAATTGATGCCCATGAAGAGATTGGGCGACAATCTGTCCGCCGACGGTGGAGAGAGTGGCGCCTCGTCCATCTGGGGCGTGGCGAAGATGTCGCTGACGCCAGCCTCGGCGAGGATGTCAGTGGACGACGTGGGCATGGCCGAGGATTCTGGGAATGAGGGCAGAGGCACTTCGAAGCAGGGACTCTGGACGGTGGTCTTCTCCTGCTTTCGCCACTTGGCTCGACGATTCTGGAACCACACCTGCACCCGCGCCTCCGTGAGGTCGATCAGCCGCGCCAAATCCTCCCTGAAGAAGACGTCCGGATAGTGAGTGCGCTGGAAGGCTCTCTCCAGCTCCTGCAGCTGCAAGGAGTTGAATGTGGTCCTGCAGAGGAAGAGCAGAGTGTCAGAGGAGCTCCTTGGGAATTGATTGGGGCGCTCTTGATACCTGTATCGACGCTGTTTCCTCTTCATTCTCTCGGCCTTCCTAAGGCTTCATGGCGCACAAAGTTGACTTCTTCAACCCCCAAAAATGCACAAATTCTGCGTCACAGACAACAACTTCACGACCTCTTCTCGCCTCTGGACATCTTCCTTGTCTTCCTCAAGGTTTCTTAATATTTCAGGAGGGTTTTCACAAATTTGGGGAATATTTTCAGTAAATTTCCCACCACAATTGATCAGTCACTGAAGACACAAATGCGCAGAAAACCGTTGAACTCTTTTCATTTTCCACGACGAAAAGCCCTAAAAATGCAGTTTTTCCTCCTCTCTTTCACTCACTGTCGCCTCTCTCTCTGTCCTTGCTGAAGGGAAGAGAGACACGAAGAGGCTTAAAATATCCACAGCGCAGCTTCAAACACAATATCAGGGACGATTAGTAAGTAAATTAAATCTTTATTCTTCATAGCGCGCCTGGGAAGCTCCAGACGCCGAAGAGGGTTACAAAGGTGAAGCTGGTGAGTTGAAAGGAATACTTAATTAGAGTGAAATGAGGCGCCGCGGTGCTTCAGTTGATGGTGTTGACGATGTCGTCGATTTTCAGGATGGAACGCACAGTTTCCGACGCGAATGTGACCAGCGACGTGGACACGAGCAGCGGCTGAACGACATTCTCCGCCAGGATGTCCGTGATGGCGCCCTTTCGCACGTTGATCCCGGCATTCTTCTCGCCCTGCGCGTGGCGATTCCGCAGCTCCGTCACCGTGGAGATCGGATTGAGGCCAGCATTCTCGGCCAGCGTCGATGGGATGACTTCCAGCGCATCCGCAAACGCCCTGAAGCAGTAAGCGTCCACGCCCACGAGCGTCTGAGCGTGATTGGCCAACTGCAGTGCCATCTCGATCTCCGGCGCTCCGCCGCCGGCGATCAGCTGGCGCTTCCGCACCAGACAGCGCACGACGCAGAGCGCATCGTGCAGCGAGCGATCCACTTCCTCCAGCACCAGCTTGTTGGAGCCCCGCAGCACCACGGACACCGTCCTGCCCTGGTTCTGGATGCCCGTGATGCGCACGAACTTGTTGCTGCCACTCGGCACCTCCTCGGCCAGATCCGCGGTTACGAGATTCTCCGCCACGAAGTGATCCAGCGACGCAATCGGCCGGCAACTCAGCGTCTTGCACACGAACTCAATGTCCTCGCGCTCGATGTCCTTCACCACCATCACCTTGATCTTGTCGAGGAAGTGCTGCGCCAGATCCGAGATGGCGTCGCGCAGGATGGACTTCTGCACCAGCAGCACGTTGCAGCCGCTCTTCTTGATCTGCTTCACGATGTTGAGGATGTACTCGCGCTCCTGCTTCAGCACCCTGTCCATGGCGGCGTAGTCCGACACCACCACGTGATGGTCCATGTCCGTCTTCGGCGGCGAGATGCAGAACTGGATCAGGCCGATCTTGGCCTTCTCCACGCGCTTCGGTCCATTCGTGCCGGCGGCGCGCTGCGTGAACACCAGCCCGTCCACTAGCTCGGTGTCCTCGATGGTGCCGCCGAGGCTGCGGATGCACTTGATGTCCTTGAGATCCACCACGTCGTTCCTGGTCTGATCCGCCACCTTCAGCACGGCGTCCACGGCGAGCGGCGCCAGCAGGCCGCTGTACTGCGACACCACCTTGGAGTTCAGCGACGTGGAGGCGCTCTTCACGAGACTCTCGTGGTCGCCAATCTCCACTGGAATTGACATGTCTGAGAGAATCTCCACGGCCTTCGCGGCGCAGCGCTGGAAAGCGTCCGAAATGGCCGTGGGATGAATGCCCATCTGCAGGAGCTTCTCAGACGCCTCCAGGAGCGCTCCGGCCACCACCACCACGGACGTTGTGCCATCGCCGGCCTCGATGTCCTGCGCTCTGGACAATTCCACCAGCATCTTCGCCGCCGGATGAATCACGTTCATCTGCTTGAGGATTGTGGCGCCGTCATTGGTGATCGTCACTTCGCCATTGCCCGCCTGGATCATCTTGTCCATGCCGCGGGGCCCCAAACTCGTCCGGATGGCGTCGGAAACAGCTGAAAGAATGGTGAGAGTGAGGTTAGATCACATCATCATAGAATCTTCCAGAAGACCCACGCCTTCTGCCACATTTTCTATCATTTTCCCCAAAAACCACCCCACACATCACCCAAAGGACCCCCACAAAGCCCTCCCAGAGGGGAAAAAGAGCCCCAAAAGGCAGTTTCAGCACCTTTAGCAGCATTTATGTTGCTGGAACGAATGTCAGCCGGTTTGCTTTTGTCCTTGTAGGCGCTCGCCTGAGGCTTGACCTTGGGGGCATCATTCTTAGGCGCCATGGATCACTGGAAAACAGTCACTGGGATGCTCAAAATGTTGGAAAATGCACAATTTTCACGGAAAATCGTTCACAACACGCGCTCACGAGACTCGGCAAATTGAGCAAGTTTTGCGGTTGTCAAAGAAGAGCGATGCCAGCGCTCCACAGCGTGAAATTCAGGCGAAATAGTCTGGCTTTTGGCCACACAGAGCGCTGTAGTCAGATAGAGAGTGAGAAAATTGCGCGGAAACACATTTAGAAATGTGATGATTACAATATTTCGGAAATTATCTAACATTTCTCTAATGTTCTTGTATTCTTTGATATTTCAGTGTGAATTTACAGGCAGCAGTCGGGGATAGCGCTGGATATCCAGTGATGGAAAGCAGTTAAACAGCTTATCAGCGTGTAATTTGTTTAGGCAGTTGTGGAATGTCTCAATTGAACTGCAAACAGATGCTTTGCTGGCCTTTGAATGACAATTCAATAGGTCTCATTTGCAGTCTAATTTAGCTTGATGCAATTTGGCACTTTTTTCTCCTCTCAGCGAGCATCTTGAGAGCTGGAGCTTCCGAGAAGAGCTGCTCCAAATATGGAATGGCACGTGAAAAATGCCTGACGAAGAGCATTAATTACATATTCTACTGACTCATGATTGACTATCAATATTGGATTCCACATAATTTCAATTAATTTCAATTTATATCGTCAATTAGCTAATTCCCCAAGTGATCTTGGTCATCGCTTGATCGCTGAATTAATTGAATTGGAAATTTAGGGAGCAATTTACACAACAAGCGGCGACACAATTTTCCAGCATGACATTTTCAATAGGGCTACAGATAATGAAAAAAAAGTGTCTTGACGACTCAACAGATGCTTATGTGTGTTTTTCTGTACTGTAAAAGATGGATAAAATTGTGGGCTGAGGAGGAGAGAGAGAATAATTAGTGAGACGCCTTAGAAAATCCACGGTTCTTGGCATTTTTCTAAATTAAAACTTTGAAGAAATATTTAATTAAATGCCATCATATAATCTAATTAAATTTTCTCACACACCGCGTCGTTCATAATCTTAATTCCGGGCGAGGAGGGAGAGAAAGAAAAAAATTTTGAGGCGAGATAACATGTGAAATGCCGAAATTGGGCCGCGCATTAGAAATTCCGGTGGACGGAGGAAGTCCAGAGCGAAGGGGCCAGAGATGGATATCTGGAGCTGATTGTATGCGAAGACACCCTGTTGTTATAATTACACAATGAAAATCAATAAATCGTCCGGTTGCGGTGGCACATATGCTGCACACCCGCCCCACGACGTCCGCCGCCCACCGCCCGCCAGAGATGCTTTTCTCTTGTTTCCACAATATTTCTTCGCATTTTCATATTTCCCGGCGAGACGCCGGGGGCGGAGAAAGGCCACTCTCGGGTGTGATGATTATTTCGCTGTGGATGTAATTTTTCAGTTTCACTTGCAGCACAGGAGAGCCGCCATTATTTATATTAATTACTTCATTCTGCTGTGAATGGACAAACAAGTGTACGAAATATAATGCAAAAGGACGACATTCGACTCTTTGTGCAGATCTTTTGGCAATCATGACTTCACTAGAGGATGCAATTCAGTGTTTTTCACGTGATGTGAATTTACTAAACAGACTAAACCTCATAATTATCTGAGAAATATGAGTTAGTTCGTATTCTTAGAGTAACTAGAATGGCACGTGGCGTCTTAAACCTGTGCATGAACTTACAGGATTAAGTAGATTCAGAACTAAGCTTCGATGTGTGTTTAATCGTCTTTATTATTAATAAAATCGCGCTTTGCACTTAAATATATTCTCCAAATTAGCGAAAATCTTTGGCCAATTGATTAGTTAAAACATTAGTCAGTAGAATATTTAATTTGACCAGTAAATTTATTCAAATTTCCTTCATTTTCCCTCAAAACTGATTAGTAAAAATGTGATATTTCACCCCAAATCAGTGACAAATCACTGCAAAAGTCATATTTTCTAATTGAAACAATGATGCATCGCTGGATCCAGAATTTTTCCGATCTCTGGGCGAATGAGAGTGACCAGACGCCTCTCCACCCCCTCTGCAAACCTCCCCGTGTAGCCATTATAATGAGCGACCAACATAATGCCTGGCAGACTCTCGGTCTGCGAAATTCAATAGGGAAGTGCAACGTGTTTTGGATTATAACAATGTGGAGGGCGGCGAAGTTGCTGAATGGACGCAGAATCGGATGCCAAGGGTTCCGGGACAGAAATTAGTGCAAATGTCCACTGATTGGTAATTGTTATGTTTGTCGAATGGACGAGAAAGACAATGAAGCCATTATGCAGGGGGTTTTGCTCGGTGAGTTGCTGAGAAGCCAAAAGACGTTTGCCAGGTGGATTTTTCTGCTTCTTTTTTGCTTTTTTAAATCCGTGCGCATTTTCTCCAGCATCGTAAGCAACACAGCTTTGTCTCAAATTTGGCCAATTTGCCCACTGGCCCACCCCTCGTTAATCCGCATCGTCTTTGCTCAGCAGCAGCACCGAATGTTGCATCCAGATTCAAATTCAATTACACAAACACTCTTCTCGTGCGAGTGTGCATTGTCAGTTGACGAAGGGCGAGTGGCAAAGAGCGAAATTCCTGAAAATGAAGGCATTTCAATGGAAGTAATTAAATATTCATATAGTCTGGAGTTGAGAGTCTTAGAAGTCGCCATAATATTTATTCATCATGCAACATCAACCTTGTAATTTGCACTTACTTGACCTCCATCATTTGTGCCCCGATGCCCCTAAATTATTTCCGGAAGATACAATTTATTCGGTGCAATTTCCAGCGTAACAGGTGATCACACTTGGAACAAATTGAAAAAGAGCGCAGTCACGACACGGCCGCTGGTATTTGAATATGACACTGCGTATTGAAATTAGGGGTTGAATTACCATAAGTGTGTGTGCAGAGGAGATGGCTATCGTTAGGCCAACAGGTAAATTTCTCGCGTATTTTTACGCTACGCTGCCTTTTGGGCGCGTTAGGGTTGCTTTTATCACTGAAGATCACACATTTTACCACTTTATTAATTGCTTTGAGGGTGAATTTTGCTGTTTTTCCACATTTATTAGACCTCAGAGTTGCTTAAATGGCGTTGGAGGTGAATTTTGACTGAGGTTTTATTGATTTTCGTGCTGCCAGATGCCAAAATTTACCCCTTTTGCCATTTTTTAGCACAATTCAACCTCCAAAAACACATTCCTAAGTCATTTTCCACCTGAAAATGTCTCTACAAAAGATTTGAAAAATCTTTTTAAACAGATTTTTGATTTTACAAACAGTGAATAAGTGATCTTTGGAGGAAATATTAAGATTTCACTGTAAAATCTGCTGAAAATGACTGCGGAAGCGCATATTTCACCCTTTCAACCCCACCACAATGTGTTTTCCAGGCTGGAAAGGACTTTTTTCATTCACCCTTCCCTCTGATATGCTAAAAAGATGGCGAACCCCTTAAAAAAGGGTGAAATGGGTAAAGAACTGAAAGGGGTTGTGTGATCTCTGGCCATAGAAGTGAATCTCATTCGAATTTTGCAGCTCTTGCCGGAAGGATGACAAGGAAATCCTGAAGGAAATTTAAAGTTAAAGAAGATAAGAAATATGTTGAAGGAAGAGGAATTGTGGGGGAGTTTTGTTGTGTTGATAAAAGGTGCGCAAGCGTTTGGAAATCCTCCTCATTGGAATACTGAAAGGAGTTTACAATATGCAAACGAGCGATGGAGTCGCGAATGCAAAGTCAGTGTTGATTTAGCTGTTCAGCGATCGAGTCACCAGAAATTGTCATGTAAGTGATAAGGATTATCAGTGATGGAATTCAATGCAATTATGAATAAATTATATCGAGTGGAGTGTTGAGGAATTGCACAATCACATTGAGTGCAACCCTCCTTTTTTCTCATCGCTAAATGTCCTGTGAAATTTTCATACTCTCTCGTGTGTCCCTCCGATCTCAATTGCCCATCGATGGATGAAGCAGCAGGAGACTTTCCGCCCTCGGGTCATGCGGCGCAAAAAGTGTATATATCGAGATAGCGCAAATAAAAAAATGCGTAATAATCTGCAATAATCTTAAACAACCAGCTCTGTCATTCAAAGATAACATGCGACCATCCCCACATTCACTCCCTGCAGCTCAAGGACCATTCCGGACATGCGGTGATGGTGTGCAGAGGGCCAAAAAACACCCACCCTCGCCTTGGTAGCATAAACAAATGCTGCAAAAAGCTGTTGAACTCTCTGCCCTTCGATGAGCACTTCTACTCTCTGGGATATTCCCATATTTTGGGAGGGAAAACAAGACAGAGGAAAAGTCTTAATTCGGAAAGTGGAGGGCGAGATATGAGATTTTCTCTTCTGCTCTCACCCCGAATTGGCCAATTAATTTCACTTTGAAGTTCACGCATTGCAAGCGCAAAGGATCAATGCGTATTTTCCGTTCTATTATTCACTGTTTAGACGCAAAATCTTTAGGTTTAGAATGCGAATCTGAGTCCGGAATTGTATAGAATATCCCTTTCGGCATCCAAGGGCTGTCCATCTAGGAAACTTTCGGCCCCTAATAATGTGGAATTTGAGTTTTGTGTGAAAGGCGCTCCTCGGAGGATTTTTCATTAACAAACAACGGAATTCAGGCGGATTTCCCCCAATCTCGGACGCCAGTGGGATTGGCGAGGCTGGACAGAAGGTGTTAGGATGGAATTGATTGGTGTCCCAGTGCGTGAGCACAGAATCCTATGAGCTTCTCTCTCTGGGTGTGGATGAAAGTGAGATAAGACGGAGGGATGAACAATGCGAGTGCGAGATGAGTTTTTTCCGCCATCCCTCCTCTCGCCTAATAGGAAAATCATGTCCCAGTCAAAGGCGAGGAGGACTTTTCAGTTGGGGGCCGACGAGAATCCTCTTGAATTGATCCCACTTGTGAAATTTAGAGGCGCACAATGGGTCCAAGGGGAAAGTGGCTCAAGTAATTACAAAATTGGAAATGTGATCCTGGGCGAAGGGTGTGTTGTGTGTGCGCCTTTGTCTTGGGCTCTCAGTCGGGACGGCGAGGGCTAGATAAAAAAAAGAGGCGATTTAGAGTGGATTCCAGGGAATGAAAGAGAAAATTCCTTGTTAGTTTGAATCACTCAAATGGACAAGAGGCGCGTGCCTCACTTCCGTCAGTCGCCCATCATGACAAGGACATCCCCCAAAAGAATCGCCACTGCGAGGGGATGATTCCTCAGCGAAAAAAAGAAGAAAGAAAAGAACCGTGCGGAGGAATGTCCGTGTTGTAATTTCGCTGCAGCGCCCACTCGAGATGTTAAAAAATGCGAGAGAGAAAGAGATTTGGATTGATAAATGTGTGAATTAAATGGAAAATGGCGATGTTGAGGTACAATTTGAAATAAATCTCAATCCCACGAGCCACCCTCGAGACATGCGGAGAATTATCTCTTCCACAGCACTCACGCTGGGGCTTTTCTCGCATCCTCCACAAATGGCTTCCCTCGCCCTCGGCTGGATGCGCCCTGTAAAATGCGGGAAACTTCCATGAAGCCAATATCCATATATCAATAATTCACATTTTGCGGAGACACTTTTCGTGCGGCAATGGCTGAATATAAATGTGCGAGCCCAAGTCGTTTGAATTATCCCCCAAGGGGCCTCTCGCCTCCTCCCGCCCCTCCGCAGGAGGAGGGAAAAAAATATATTCGCCCGGACGAGAGGAAAAAAGGGCCACACAGAAGCGCCATGAGGAATGAAAATGTACCGAAAACGGATGTAAGAGTGGAAATCTGGACCCGATATTTTACAAACTAATGTGACATTTCGATTATTCTATGGGATTTAATGTGTTTTATGGCGTACCGTATAAATATCACGGGGATGAAATAAAAATAGATATATGATTGCGCAGTGTTGGCGGTGGAGAGGCGGAAAAAAAGTGAAATGAAATGAAAATAAATAAAGGATTTTGCTTATGGGTGAATTTATATTGCCATCTCACTCATCCGCAAACGACACATAATCGCAAAAATTATTGTCCTCCACTGTCACCATCGGGAAAAAGTGTTGAACAATAAATTTGCCACACTCTGGCGATACACGATTTCTAAATCATTGCCAAAGCAAAAGTATCATCCATCCCGGCTGAACGCGCGTGTGCTGCTGAGAAGGCATTGCGTAAGGCCTTTTCAGGATGCTTTTAGATTGTTGCTGGCAAAACTGTGTCTATTTCAGCGAATAGATAGATTTAGGGTGCTGTGCGAGGGGTAAATGTTACCTGTGATAAGATAATAGTGTAAAAAGTGGGATTTTGCGGTAAATATCCCACTTCTGACACCAAATTATCACAGCAAAATGACTGGAAAGTCATATAATGAACGAGATAATGAAAAATCACTGTTTATAAGTTGGAAAAAATGATGTTTCTTAGCAAATTCTCTGTTATTGTGTCTTGAATTTAACGTTTATCATCACTGTTTGGCTCAATCTTCCTTATCACTCCTTCACTGGCCAAATCATTGTGCCAACCGGGCTGTATTTTATTCCATCACATTCGATTCCTTTGGCAATTCACAGATCCTCACAGTTGATGGAAAAGCTCTTGGCGAGATATCGCAATTTTTCTCGATGAGAAATATTTTGCGAAAAGCTGTCCTCCTATTCTTGATTTTTCTTTTTTCTCTCTCTTTCTCTCTTTGCCTGTGCTTTCTGGATGGGTAAATTTGTATCCCTTCGAGGCATAATAGCATCGCTACTATGCTGTATGTGTGGACAGAGAGAGAAAAAAAAGCCGGAGAAGGGAGAAAAAATTGTCGAAAATGTAACAAGGCAGCACAATAAAAAAAATCATTTAATAATATATCAAACATTTTACTCGCCAACATTTTGGGCTCTTGCTCGATTTTCCTCCCCGGCCGATATAAAAGTCAGTTGAATTACAATCCATCCATTTGGGGAGCCGATGAGGAAGAGATGGAAAATGTGACGGCGGATATCGACATGAAAATAGAATGGAAAATTTGATTGGTTTCATTTTTCCGTCAGCCCTTCAAGCCAAAATTGCTGGCGTGTGTGGCGTGAGTTGGGGGTGGCTTGACAAATATACAAGAAAAGTATGATGCAAGAAGTATACTTTTTGTGCGCCTCTTCGCTTGTAAGTGGATTGATTGGTGAATTTTTCAGTCTTCTGCGAATGGGAAAAACTCATCCAAATTTCATCCCTTCACAGCACAAATTCATGTCGCTTCCATTCTATGGAGATTAGCATAGAAATGGGATGTATTAAATTCACTGAGAGTCTCGTCGCATTTTTCCTCTTTCTGATATGTTTTCCAAGGGCTGCGAGGAGAGGAAGTGACAGAGAATCCCAGAGCATCCCCTCAGGATAGAGGGTGGACGAGAGGAGAGCGAGAGAGAGCATGCCAACTGTTCTTCCATCCCTCGGCGAGGGCGAGCGAAGGAAGAAAAGGAATGCATAATGAATGAATAGCCCTACGAATAGTTTTTCATACCGACAACTTCCCACTCCGCCTCGGCTGAAGAGGGTGGAAAAAGGGAAATTCTTCCATGCGATAATCCCAAATTTATATGCACTCTTACGAAAAATCAATACTCTTGTGCCTGATAAGGCTTCCATGTTCCTCCCCTTGTCGGGCCGGTGAGAATGAAAAGTAAAATATTGCTGAATATTACAATGATTTGTTGGGATGGATGGCCAAAAGTGTGTTGTGATGAGGAGAATACTTTTAACCGCCACTTTGTGAATTGCTCATTGTTGCTTTATCAGTGGTGCGCGCTGGACGAGGAAAAATCACCCCTTTTTCACCCATTGGTGAATCCCCCATGATGGACGACCATTGCATGATTTATGACACACTCATGTGAAATATTACATTACATTTTCTTGAATTTTATTGATCCACAGAGCTCCTCTTGCCACCCACTCTCGGGACAGCAAAATATATTTACAACCCTATCCGTGGACGACAATACACAATAAAGTGCTGCACACAGAGAGTGGAGAGAATTTCCACACCCGGGAAAAGTCCGTCGTGTGAGCGAGCGAGAGAGAGAGAGATGGCAAGTGATGGACTTTGGCAAACACAATCCATCAATGCTTAGCAAATTCGTCTCTCTCTCTTCCAACCCCGAATATTGTCATCCAACTCGTCACTCTCTTGCGCTTAATATAAATAAAATTAAGGCACCCAAAGACGAAACAAGAAGCTTCACCCCTTTTCGTGTGCTCCGATATATTGAACATTAGCGCAGCGGAGATGATAGGGTTGAAATAATACCGGGACGGACCTCCATCTTCCAAACAATGAAAGTGTTCATCAATCATAATCTGATGACTCACTTTCCACCCTCTCATTACTCACAGGCGCTGTGAAAGAATTCCCCATAAATAAAGACTGGGCGAAGTCCGAGACTTTAATCTCTCAATTTTCATGCTCACTATCAAACCCTTTCCGTTCTGCTGGGCAAAGGGGTTAAATTTTGGCACTGCATCGCAATTATTTGAAGGCTTCCAGAAGGCAGCTGACATTCTTGAGATGCTCTTCTAATTAAATTTCTTGCTTTATCGCATCGAAACACTTTCGTGTCGAGCACCGTGCAAAATCGCAAATAAAGTGCCATTGAAATTACTTATCCACCCCTGTGCAGAGCTGTAAAATTGCATAATACACTTTCAATTTGAAGTATTATCATTGCATTTGCGGCTGAGGAAAAATTCATGCGAAAAATGCTGTTATTGAACCACAAATTGGAGGGTGATTTTGTTATTTTTGAAAGTAGTCTTGCAAACCAAATCACCTTCCGAAAAAAAAAAACCCACCCTCAGGCAAGCCACACACATGAGGAGAAAGGAGAGAGAAAGGGAGTCCATCGAGGGTTGAAGAGGAAACTGTAAATTTTCAAAAGGTCATTGAGAGGAAAATTCATCGAATCATAAATAATTTTTGTCACGCAACATTTGACATTCGGATTTCGACTGTTCGTCGCAATTCAAAAAAAACCACCACCCCGCATGTGGAGGGTGGAAATAAAAAATATTATTATTATTGTGTTTTCAAATTTACTGACTTGTAATAGAGTTTTCTTTTCCCCACTCCGCGTGTCTCTGCGGTCACAATGGACGCATCTTTCACCCTCAATCTTTTCGAGTGATTTCATTTTTTATTCCGTCATTTAAAATAGGGGCTGATGCGCTTCTGTGCGGGAAAGGGATGAAGAAGCTGTGTGATTTTTTTCAATTGTGTCACTCGCCATTAATAACTGACTTCTAGAGCTGATGGCTTGCCAGGGTGGAATTATGGTGAAATTACAACTTTATATCATTTTCAGGAATATTCTCTATCGATTTCACCCCCTTCAAGCCGTCAACCCTCCTGAGCCATGGCCATCGTGAGGGACAGAAGCCCGTGGGTGCGACAGAGACGGAGAGACGCTCCTGCGCTACATTTGCAACAGAATATTCCATCGTCTGCCACCATTAAATTATTCCTGCAGTTGCTGAATATGAGCACAAACCTGGAGGGTGGCTCGAGAGGGGTGAGTTTTCCACTATGAAATATAACTCAATCCCTCATGTGTGTGTGAGCGCCCTGCCGCTGTCTGAGGAGGTGGCGCATGCGATTCTCGAGCACCCCTTCTCCGCGCCAGCGACGGACGGGTGCTGCGAAGGGTGGCAAATCGCATTTCGCTCATTGTCTTAGCAATAGGCACAGCCAAACAATACCTAGGCGTCCGTGAGCTTCACGAAATGCTTTCAATGCCCTCTGGAAGTTTGAGAAATCTTGATGTTTCTGAAGAAGAGCGCATTGTCTTCGTTGATTAGCTTATAGTTTTGGAAAACTAGAAAGATATTTAATGGTCAAGGGAGACATGAATAAAATGGGCGGGGATTGCGAGAGGGCGGGAAATCGCACTAAATATTAGACGAACTGTGAAGAAATAAGACTTGATTGTTGGAAATTCATCAATTCCGCTGGAATTTTTACACTGTTTTGAGCACAAGACAAAGACACAAAAGCTTCTGACTGCAGTTTTCTCATGAATCGTATTTTGGGTGGTGGCAACGCTTGGGCGCCTAAAGCGGGCTGATTCATGAGCCATTTTCAATTAGCAGGTAATACAGGAGGACGGATATTTGCACTTTCCTCCCCGCCAGTGCGCTGCGAGTGGAATTTCAATTTGGGGCGATGTCACAGCCACCCCTTGAGAGGAGGGTGAAACTGGACACCGGCGTGAGCAAATACCCGGTGAAATATTAAAAAAGACCTCACATTGTGAATTGTCTGGGCGATTGAGGGGGTGTCAGTCAATATTTGGCCAAGTTGCGGGAGAAGGCAAATGTCATTTTCCATCGAGCTTTCATTTCTTCGAATTTTCCTCGCGCGCGCGCTGCATTATTTAGATCCACTTTCGTGGCACGCCAAATATTGATGATGGAATTCCGGCAGGTCGATAAATATTAATGCGCGCAGCGGAGTTGCGGGGGAGGTGGAGTGAAATTGTAAAATTGATATCGCTCGCCCGCCAACCCTTATCGTGTGAGTGGCCATTAAATTGATTGGCATTTTGAAGGATGGACGCTGGCTGGGAGGACATGTAAAGGGCGTTTTATATTCCCAGGCAATTGTTATTCGGCGAATTGCTTGCCATTTACCATAAACACTCTATATGTCTTTGTGGACGGAATGGAATTCACTGGCCGGAATTGGATTTATCAACAACCCCCCAAAACAGAAGCGCTGAAGAGGTGGATGCTGTGCAGAATCACCCTCTCTCGGCCCAATCATCAAAGAACATGCTGACGCAATCGGACAATTTTACATCTTTTGAGCTCTTGTCCGAGAGCGAGAGAGAGAGAGGGTGGAATTTCCCATTTTGACCCACAGAGTCTCAGGCCCCTCTTGACTCAAGAAAATGAAAATAAATTCCGGCCGTATGGGAAAATTTGTATCTATCCCGTTGATGGGTTGTTTTCCTTGCAGAATCACCCCAGCGCTCACTGCGTGACTCTTTTTCATGCCACCCCCGCTCTCTCTCTCTCTCGCCCCCTTGGCAACTGTTAAATGCGTGTCCTGGCGCAAGGGTGTGAGCGTGAAGAACGTGGAGATGGACACAAGGGGACTTCAACCTGTTTCTCTTCTCGTATTTACTCACATTTTTGGCCATCTCGAGCAGAAGAGAAACAACATTCAGCAAGGGATGAATTTTGATGAGGGCTGATTTTTCTTTTCCAGCGTCTCTCTCTCACTCTGTGTGATGCCTTGAAAAAAAAGGTCAATTTTATTTAGGTGCTTGGAATAAATTTTCATGGAAATTTTTTATTCATGAGACGCACATCAAACATTTTATTAGATCACCATCGTCGCCCACCCTCGCTCGTCATTTGTCTCTCCTCACACACTTCTGCCACTGGCCGATGGCAATTTATATGCAAATTCATGTGGCGAATATGCAGTGTATTTTTGAACACTTTGCTGACATTTCCAATGCGCAGGGATTTGTTTTTTTGATAAAAATAACTCTCTTCCACTTGATCAATTTCTCGTGGGCGCGCAGAGAAAGTTGAAGGAGAGAGAACACTTTCACCCTCACCTTTCCGTCCATCTCATCATCTGACAAAGCTCAATTTGGACGTCGAAGGATGAATTGTTGATTTGTGTATGAGAGGCACAATGAGGAGGAAAAGTCTCAACTTTTCAGTTTACTCAAGTTCATTTCGTATAGGAAGTTCTCTTCTAAACTTCTCTTTCTCTCCCAACCCACCCGTCCTTCGTCCCACACCCTCGACGCTGGGGGTGAATCCACATAACATTGACATGTACAATAAAAAAAAAGAGGAGGTTGTGGGTGGCGTCCATTAGATTGATTGAATTTGATTTCACCTTTTTACAGCGAAAACATCCAACATTGCCGAAGGGTGTGAGTGAGGAAAGGACGAACGGAATTCTCCACACACAACTTTCAACTATAGGCAGAGACTTGTCCTTTCGGCCACCCACTCCCCCACCCCCTGGGTGGGTGGAATTGAAAAGCCTCCGATTGCGCCCACACGAAATGAGATGAGAAAATAGAGACTGAATGGCCAGAGAAATAAAAAGTCTCATATCATTCTTGCTGATTTGGCTGTTGGTCGTGCATAAGCAGGACGACTTTTTGCCCGGGCTCATGTCGCACTGCCATTTAGTTTATTATTTATTTCTGAAATTATCACAAAATGAGCATGATTGACGCCATATGGCCGACATGGGGACTCATTATGGATGTAAAATGCCGCGCTGAGGTGAAAAAAAAACATGCATTTAAAATTCAATTGCGAGGCAATATCGCCTGTTTAGCCAGTGTTTTCAGAATGTTATAGAGAGAGAGAACATTTTGAGCAATTATTTACCTTTTATGATTTTCCAAGAGTGAAAATGTTACTCTTGGGTGTGGCCGAAAACGTGCGCCCGATTGAAACACGTCCGTGGCGATTATTTGTCACATTCAAACCTAAAATGGAGCAAATGTTGAGGAAAAGAGCGCAATGTTTGGCCTTATTTGCCGCCTTTGGGCTTCCTTACAACCATTGTTCACACACACACGAACACTCTAAAGTCGACGTGGTGAAAAACTGTGTGCTCTTAAATATTTTCCAATACTTGGCATTCGATTGATGACGAATAGATTTGCAATACACAGAAATCTCTCTCTCCCTCTTTATTTTCCCGGGTATTTTCCAATTAAAATCTCCCTTCCAGCGTGTGGGCAAAGAAATGGAGGAAAGTTTGTGAGATTCTCCATGGTGAAACTTGCCAACATTCTGCGAGTTTAGATTTAAAGTTCAATCCCCGAGACCACGGGTGACTCAAATGGGTGGCCGTTTGTCAAGGAATTTTTATTATTGCATTCCATGGGATGTAAAAGTTTTCCGTTTGTTTAATTTCCCAACATTTCAGCAGCAGAATTTCCTCCGTCTTTTCCGGCCGCGCGTCCAATTTAATGAAATTGCCCAGTCACAATTTGTTCGACGCATACAAATTGATGAAATTTGAACTTTTAATTTTGTGCCGCGAAGAGAGTTTTGTAAATCAAATCATACACATCGCGATTAATTGCGTGAATTCCACTTTCACTCTGTTTTGGGTGACCGGAAATAAAATGGGTGAATTAATAAATGCCTTTAAAATTACACTGTGCGCATAATGTGTTAATTATGATCAACAATTCACTAACTCTGTACCATCAATTTTGTACGCACTTGAAGACGGTGAAAGTAATTTTATTGGAAAGAAATTCACTCATTTTCAAGGGGCTTCTCAGCCACTCGCGATTGCCTTGCGTTGGCGAAATTGTTACAATTTATAGCCTCCAGTTTCCGCTTGTGGTGTTCTTGTAGGGGAGCGCAAGGCTCCTCATGAGAGATTCTTTAGAAGCCTGTAGAAGTCTCCGTCCACAGTCGACTGACTCTCCGCTATTGCTTTTATCTTCCCTGGAAATGTCCACACTCGTGTTCAATTTAATGTGGAGACGCAATAAAATATTGCATTGTGATATTCTCGTTGTTGCTGGGATTGACATTGAAGTGAAAAGAAGACGGTTTAAAGCAAAAGCTGAGACTGATTGAGAATTCTCCGTGCGTCCAACATCAAAGGCATGACTTAGAGTGCATTCGGTATCAGAGGCGGAAGATCAATTCAGCTCAAAGTGTATTGATAATGAAATTATTCATAACTGTGTACGAATTCACATCAATTTCTTGCTGAGCGCAAAAAACTGCTTGGAGAGACGCTGAGGAAATTGAATTGATAGGCATAAAAAAGGGAAATATTGCGCATTTTCGTCTCAAGCATCCTCCAACTCCAAATTGACTAAATCATAATGTGGTATACGCATATCTGATGATAAGGAGTCATCCTGATGATTGTCCATAAATACATAAATATCCCACTCTGGCCCTCATGCTCCGATCCTCTCGCATGGAGTGGAATTGTTTTGTGTGTGTGTGTGCATGAGTCCTACAATCCCAATAAATTCAGATAAAATTTTCCTCCCCACGCCACCCACTCGAGGCCCACCTCTTGATTTTTTCCTCTCCAGATAACTTCCTTCTTTTTTTTGCCCACGCTCGTGCTTTCTCCCCACCCGCCGAGCCCATAAGGAGCTTCTGTTGTTGTCCATTCGTCCTGACCCTTGTTCGAATCGAGGCCCGGGCGGATTTTGCGAGGAGAGCAGAAAAATCTCATCCTTTTCGGACCCTCCCAGCATCATTTCTTCTTATTATACATTCTGCCAAACTGGCAGATATAAAAAACGCCCGGGCCAATGGCTGACGGGCCCCTGGAATGCTGCGAGGGTGGAATGTGGGGTCCTGGGGATTCCGCATGGCATGAATACATTGAGCCGGAGCGGAGGGAGGGATTTTATATCCGATAAATAAAATAAAGAGAGCGCCCGAGAGTGAGTGATACGGAGGAGAACCCCAGACTTTTTTACTCAAGAGAAATTGTCTTGAGATTCCCTCGGTGGACACACACTCAGAGCAAGAAGGCAGCTTCTTTAGAATCGCCCCTAAAGGAGCCAAAGGATGAGCTAAGGGGCGAATAACCTGACAAGATTAATCCAAATCATAACAAACTCTGTAGAAAATATTAAAATTCGACGATTATCTGTAGAATAATATTGAAAAACATTGATTTTCGCCTAGATTACTTCATTTTTCTCGCTGATTTCTTCACTGAATCCAGCATTGATTGCTAAGATTGCTAATCAAGTTACACTGTATTAACTCCTTGGACAAGTTGGCTTTCTCTGAGTGCAATATTTCCATCGCCAGCGGCCATGAGGAACACTGGGAGTGAAGAACAAGAAAAGTCCTCTCCCGAGAAAGAGACGAAGAAAAAGTCCAAGGGAGAAAATCTCGTTAGATCGGATTTTTTTATCGATTTGAATAAATAATAAATCCAAACGCCATTACAAGGAAAAAGCATTTGCTGGGTGCGTAGTTTGATCTTTGGAACTCAGAGCGATAAAATGTGGAGGGAAGAGAGAGAGAGAACAAACATAAGCAGAATGAGCAAGTCGAATGAATATGAAGAATTTGCACTAGATAACATTTATTGAAATTGTAAATAAATTTGCCATTTTAATCACACACACCACATTTGAAGTATACGGCAATTGCATAAGTGCAGCACTCACCCAAGTTTAATATTGATATCAATTCAAGGATAGCAATTTCAATGTGTATTTTATAATATAAATATTCATCTCCCTCTATCATTACACCTGGTATAATTGTTGCATTCTTAATTTGGAATTCTTCTCCATTAGCGCATTGCGTTTTTCGGTCGCGTCGCTTTATTAATGAGGTAACCACGCGAAAATATACCCATCTTCACCATGCATTTCCACCGTCAGAGAGATTTTTTATTATTTTCTATATAAACATATTTCTTCTTGATTTATACACACATTTTACAACCTCTCGCGGCTCAGTAAACTAACCAAAAACGCAGATATTTCACTGAGATTCACTGGAATTTTTCTCGAACAAATTAGAAAATCACTCGATAAGATCTCCAGATTTATCTAATGCATATCTTAAGAGTCTGCCTTTCCGCATTCATGACAAGAGATGCGCTGAAAAGTCTTTCACGGCGCCAGATTTACAGCCGCTTTCAAGTCAAAATGCACCTTGTGGCGAAGGTAGAGCCAATAGCACTTTGCAGCTTGCCATAGGACGAGCCTTCATAGAGAAGGAAGGGCAACGCATGCGTCGCGTCTAATTTAAATAATGTAAAATGTGAAGGGTAGATTTCTGCCTCGCGCGATTGGCTCAAAAAAGCCTCGCAGTGGGAAATATGAAGGCTCTTCTTTCCACTGATGAACACTTAGAGCTGACTTTGGATCAATATCCACAAGGCTATAAATGTATACAAAATTCTTCCAGGATAGCCAGAAGAGAATGAAAAATCCCTGCTTTCTCGAAAGTGGTTTTCTTGGTATAAAAATTCCCAGTTATTTCCATTTCTGGGAAATTTCTCCCCCAACCGGCGAGTGAAGGACATTTTGGGGGGTGGAATGTTCGTGTTCTTGTGCGCCTCCGTTGGGATTTTAAAGAAACATTTTTTGTGATTTGACGGCAAAAAGAAGCGGAAAGGCCCTGGGAGAGGGAAGAATATGTAATGCGGCATGTTTCCCTTGGGATGACGTCAAAATATGGCCACCGACATTGCGGAGAGGGGTTGAGTTTGGGGACTCGCACACAGGATAAAAATGTAAACGAAAATAGAGGCAGCAAAATGAAAATACATAGGTTCACCTTACATAAACATGGGCACTGGGGATGTTTCCAGGGCTGTTATTTTGTTATTTTTCATGTTACCGCACCCAGAATCTGGGGAGCGATTTACAATGTGCTCTGGCTGTACACGAGGAAAAATATATATTTCTATCTGAATAGATTGGTTGGGATCCCAGGGCTTTTTTTTCTCCTGCAAAGGGAGGGTGAGAGAGAGACTGAGAAAAATTGGCCAAAAAGCAAGGGCTTTTTTTGCACAAGCGACGACACAGAAGGGTGGGAAAGTTCGAGGGATGGAAGAGACATCTTTGTCATTTCGGAGTCCTCAAGATATGGAAAATGTAATACTTTTGCAAAGGAAATTCATGTTTTATTGTTATCCATCTCACTCCAGAAAAGTCTTCATGTTCGTGGAATTTTATTTTTCCCAGCTGTGCTGGGAAAATTCACATCATGCCAAAACTGCCAATCATTCTTCCCTCCTCGCCATAGAGCCAATATAATACCTGTGCAGATGCTCTGGAAAATCCGCCTTGAGGCCTCAAAGAACTCCGAGGAATTTTCTTTCTGCCCAGATTTTGGGTGGTATAAAAAATTTAAATCCCGCAACTCGAAAGGTGGGCGGAACCCTCGGATTTTCCCCCTCCTCGTGTATATGGATGTAAAATGGAAAATTGATAAATGATTGCATGAATAAAAATGTTGAAAGGTCGAGAAGGGTGACCCTCAATCGGGGGCGATGGAAAGAAATTTTTCATGAAGCGCTCGAGGGAGGATTTTTCCTCCTCTTGATTGAGTTTAAAGGAGGCATGAAGAATTTTTATTGAAGTCTATAAAAATTTGTGGCTTCTCACGAGGGGCGTGTGTGTGTTCATTTGCGGCCTCTTTTTCCACGAGACACACTCCGTGAGGGATGATTTTTCACTTGGGAACATTTCTGCTGATCCCCCGGTGAAATGTGAAAATCTACTGTTGTAAATTTATGCCATATAAAGTCCTGAGGAGTGTGAGAAGCGCCCCTTAATCCCGCTGAATTGTCGTCACACACAACACCCACAATCTTTTGTGCTGGCCGAGCGACAGCCACCCCCTTTCCACCCATCACACTTTATGATTGTTGGCCTCGCATAAAAAATATCTTACATAAATTTGCAACATCTCGAGAGAGAGGAGAAAATGCTCCTCGCAACTTTTCATGCGGACACTGTGTTGCCCTGCCGGGCAATATTGTGCTCCTCTTTATGGCATTTCTCGCTTTTGACGCAGCACAAGAAAATGGCACACAAGAGTGGAAAAAAGCACCGCGAAACATGTTCAGCATACAAAATTCGCAACAAAGATGTGCCACACCACCTCATATTTCCATCGGAAGGCATTATGTCCCGTCCAATGAGGATAAACACTGCAAGGAAATGCAGTGCCAGACGGACCTTTCGTCTCAGTGTTTGGCGAGATGGAGAGGAAAATTTTCTTCGCAAATTTAGGGGACGAAAGTTGACATGCAAAGACTCACCCACACGTTGCATACAGTGAATGTCAAACTTTCTTTCTTCACGCTTCACTCGCATCGGCAAACAAGGAGAAAGAAAAGTCTTGATGAATGTCGGAAGAAGGTGGAAATGTTCCACCCTCCGCTGAGATTTTCCCCCTTTGGATTGAGTGGAGGGTGAAGTAGAGCGACTGCGACGGAAAGATAATTATGGCAAATACACGACACATTCTATGTGCTGCAGAATGTACATAAAATGTACATTAAGCCCCCCAAAGAGTCTCTGTGTTGGTGCAGGAGTGGATGAAATCACTTTTCCAGCTCGCATGGCGAGAGGAAAAGTGCGTATCGAAAGCGAATTTGCCTCTCAACACAGCGAATTGCAATAAAGTGCGTCGGAGAATTGCACTGTCCGTCACAGCAATGAGATTTGACTGCTGAGTGACGCACCCCAAAAGGGATTATGTCCATGTTACCGGCTGCGTTGTTCACAGTTAAGGGTGGAAGAAATCCTTAAGAGCCCGGCGAAGTTTTTTTTCCTCAGAGAAAAGCCTTAATTTCCTCTTGATTTATTCTCCAGTGCGTTGGATGTTTTTCCAATATTTGACTATCAATAAATCAGCCTGTCAATCGTCGACAGTGAAGTCAAGGCACAAGTGTGTGACATATTCACAATTGAGCATTACATTGCATAATTTCATATTCAATTTCCACCCCCAATTCGAGCACTGAATCATTTTTCATGCGCTCCGTGGGTCCATAAGCCTCTCTCTCACTCTCTCCGTCTCAGATTTCATCATCCTCCATTGTGCCATGGACACAGGAAGACACTCCTTGGCCGGGTGAGAAAATTTGATTAATCGTCGAAGTGAGAAAAGCACTTGGAAGCTCCAACACTCACCCACAATGCATTGCAAGCACTTTTCTCACTCTCTCTCTCTCGCTCTGTAATGTATTACAATTTTATTCAGGGAAATTCGTGGAGCCAGAAAATGCTGGGAAATGTTCAACTCGAGAGGGTGATTTTGGGTGCGGAATGTCGTCTGCAAAGTCTGCAATCCATCATTTCAACTCCACCCGTTCAGGCAATGGAATGTGGCCATTCTCCAGCCAAACCACCCATGTCATTTCCTCAGACATTTGCTGATGGACAGCATTGCTGGAGAGTGAAGAGGAATTCTACATATTAAATTTGAAAATCCGACTTAACCATGAGCCCCAGAAGAGGGTGGATTAGGAAGACTCACGAGATTTTTTTGTGCAGCCTCTGAGCAAATTCACATTTTTTCCTCTTATCTTCTTTTTTGCAGACTCGCCCACGCTTGAAGTGCTTCCTGTTGGATAATTTCGCATCAATAGGAATCCATTTGATGGTCAAATTTTCCTTTTATATGCCATTGAGCTGAATGAAGCCCAAAGGGGGCGAACTTCTGGTGGCGAAATGTGTATTGAGAATGGTGAGGAAGATACAATGAAAATTGTATTTGACATTTAATGAGGTTGGACCAGTGTGGAAACAGGAGAGAATGTCCTGTGATGTGCATTTCCATTTTATTTTCACAGTTTAATGATGCCATCTCCACAATTGATTACTCTGGTAGTCATAGCGACAGTCTCAGGACACTCACGGGACTTCGCACTCACACAGTCGTCCTGCAACATGGCCGGGAAATTTGTGTATTCAACAATGTGACACACGCACACTCCGCTAACGAGGGAAATCACAGTGGCTCCAGGAGGAGGAAAGATGCAGCTTCCAGAGCACTGAGAATACGGTTTTACCTGACACTATTATAGTGCTGCAAATTTATTTGTGAATCATATTAATAATTGCTGTTTTATTGCTCAGGGATTGCCAGAGGAGAAGATTGAACTTCCACCCCTGCAAGTCTCTCACCCTGGCGGGAATACAATGGCCATCGGTGGTGTTTCTCCTTATCGTGCAACTGGCAGACAGAAATTCCGAGGCCACTCCGCATTTTGGACACACAAATGCTGAAGAGGGTGGCCTTATCTTGGCCATGCAAGAGTGCCAAAAATGGAGGGAAAAACTCACAATCTATAGAGAAGGGAACACTTAGGGATGCAAGACGATGGAAATTTACCACCTGATTTGCAATGAATGAAGAGGAGAAATTCAGAAATTTCATGAAACTTTACCTCAAAAGCATTTACAATAATCAAGAAGTTGGTTTTTGTCTCTCAGACACCAAAAATTAATTCCAATAGACCAAGAGATAGAGAGTCAAAGGGAGGCTTTGGGATAAATTATTGCTGTGTTGAAATGCCGTCGAAGGAGTGGAGAATGAGGGAAGATGGAAATTTTGCAAACAGCTGCCTATCTTTTATTGACGAGATATTTTATCTCACAATCGAATCAAACTATAAATTATTCAATAAAAATCCAAACGACAGAGTCACTCATTAATGTCTCCCTTTTGTGAGAGTTGCCAATGAAATTTGTTTAACCGACAAATTAATCCTCCTGACAAAATTACTCATCAGAGAGAAAGAAAAAGAGAGAGAGTCGATAAAGGGCCAGAAAGTGAAGAAAAGTTCACCCTATGGACGTCAAGTGACTCCAATTCCCTTTTTTTTACCACTAAAAGCCACCAGTAATTGATTCAATTAATTCATTAGAGACGTTCCAGTCCAATTGAAATTGATACGAATTCGTATAAATTTGTCTGCTTAATTAGATTGACTGGCTCTCTCATATACATTTTTATTATTCTCAATTTAGAACGTCAGATTATTTAATTGTTCAGCGACTCTATCAATTTATTATCGGCGCAATTGACACTGGACAGAAGCACTGAGAATATCCAATTGATGTCCTTTCCGAGGGGTCACTTAACTGGCTAATTTATGGGGAGCAATTTCTGTCTTGCTGTCAATTTTAAAACCGCGGGAAAAAGAAAGAATTGAGAGCGAAGCGCTGAGTAGGAGAGAGAAAGGGGCGGGGCATCGTTGTGGGTGGAGCTTCAGGTGTAGAATTCTCAATTTATCATTGTAGTGTAAATGTGAATAATATTTTGAGAAATTGTACACTGACAATTTGTTATTAATACGCCAAAAGTATAAGTTTACCAGCCCTTGGCCTTCATTTTTCCCTGGCTTCTCCGGACTCACCCTCGATTGGGATTTCCTTGCGTTATGGAAAAGTTGTTTACTTCTCGTTTCAGTGCGTCTTTTTGTCCCTTGTAAACGTCTCCGAGCAAGTAGCTTGACATATGCGATGGCGAGGAAGAAAAATAAACACAATTAATTCGAAAATGAAACTCAAGACAATCAGACAAGTCAAATACAAATTCCTGGGCGAGAGTGGTATTCAGAGGGTGGCAAGAGGTTAACAGGGGCGTTTCTCTTTTTTATTAAATTCCGGATGGACAGGTATCCAACTTTTTGCGAGGCAAGATCTCGCGGCAGTGTCGTGAAAATCAGATTGAGCAGGAAAATTCAATTGAATTGGACATTGGAAGTTTTTCTTTCATTTCACCCTCGACATTTTCTTTTATTCCACGAAAGAGAGGGAGAGAGAGAGAGAGAGAGGGTGAGAGAGAAGAGGAAAGTTCATCATGCAGTTGTTCTGCTCGTGACGGTTTCACTGACGGTGGATTTCCTCCTTTTGCAACAATAACGACATAAATCACTTAATGATTCTATTGAAATTCTATTGCATGAAATATGTACGCCTGTGATCAGCCGATCGTCCGGCCGAAACAGCGCAGAATTGCGCGTTACAAATGAGACCAATTATGCAACAATCAATTCCCGATAAAGTGGGCATCGCGAGAGCACAGCATAAAATGGCACAAGAAATTTCATTTGGCATTAATACAAGAAATCATTATCAATGCGTGGCGCCGGTTTTTTCGTGTTTCTCCCCTCCTTTTGCGCATTACACCGATAAGATCGCCCGCGATAGTTAATTGAATTGGAACAATGTTGCTTTATTGGGCGACAGAGGGAGAAATTATACGGAGGAGAAATACTTTGTTGGATGATATATGCTCATCACATTTCAGCCACCACAAATGACCACACCTCAATTTTTTCGCCCAATTTTCCCGTAAATTCAACAATCTTGATCGCTCGCGGTTGCGTAAGTGGAGCCACAGAAGACAGCGCCGGTCGCGAGAAGGTTGTATAGAAAGATATTAATAAAAAAAGCACACTATTCGTTCTGAGAAGTGAGCGCGCGTCTTATCAGTGAAGTTTGTCGATCATTCCCTCTTTACCATATAAAGTCCCTGTGCGATGTTGTTCGGGCACAATTCTTCGGCGTCATTTACTTATCGGAATGTACTTGTAATTATTAACACACAGAACGATTTTTTCCATGTGATAAGATATTTATATTCTCTCTTGTGTTTCCCAGAAAAAGAAGAGAAGAAAATCACCCACAATTGAATGTTTACTCATCCAACAGGCACACAGAATTATTTGTCACAATCGCAATTGAATTGTGTAGAGGCTTTTTGTTAGGTAAATGAAGAAGTCTGGTGGGGACTTCTTGGTGTGCACGTAACATTGGGGCGCAATTGTGTAGCATTTCAAGGTGGAGTACGTGCGAAAATTGCGATTGTTGGGGAAATCAATTAAGACAGTGTAAACATCTCAATAAATTTTATTATTAATCAATTAATAAATATATCGATTACGTTATTTTGTACACATGCACTCACGCAAAATGTGCGATAACATTTGCGCCTACTTTTAATTTGATTAAGAACATTTTCTCTGCGCTGTAATTTGTATGCCTCTTGAGCTTCCATGATAATTCCAAACACTCCACTTTTCTCTATACATTTCGTGATTTTGATTATTTGGATTGTTATGTAACAGAGCGAGCGAGAGAGGGCGAAGTGTATTGATAACTCAAATGTTACGGGAGCGATTATGATTGCCAATTGTTTCTTTTCCAATGAAAAAATATTACTACATTAAGTTTGCCTCTGTGCAATTATAGCATCTTTTGCATTGATTTGAAGAATTTATGTAGAATTTATTTATCATCCAATTTCCATATTAATTAAATATTTATATTAATTAGTAATCAGCAATTTCATGGAGTGAGACTCGCTAATTGCAGCGCTTATCAGCCATCGCGAAGATATACTCACATTATAAGAATCACATGAAACTTGAGGTGATCACGAGCCAATCACATGCAAATTACGTATTCAATTGTACTACAAAAACCCTCATTCTCTCGATATATTGGTTTGAAATGTGACGGTGATTCACATGATAAATCTCGTGCTGAAATTCTGTTGTGACTCAAGAAGAGTGGCTGATAAAAGGTAAAGTCAGCGCCTCGTGTCGCTATTTTGGTCAATGAATGAAGTGACGTGCGAGAAACACACTCTTAGTATACGCTAAAAATGTGCGAAAGGCGCGATAGCGATCGATTTTGCCCATAGAGAAGAGCGCGCGAACCGACAAACAGGAAATGCTCGCTGATCGTGTGTGAGAAAATCTAATCGCGCACCCAATACACCTGAGCCCACCTCGGGGTGTCTCTCTGGCGGGTCTTAATTGTTGCGCGATCATGGGATCATCCCAGGGAGCCCATCTCAAGATGGGCAGAATGTATGCCTTGTTGCGGCGGACACGCAATGCCCATAAAATAATTAACATTCGACGCAAAAATTTTCATATAATACTTCTTCTCACTCTTATAGCCAATTTTTAACGAACGCACTCTAAAAATGCTCCCTCCTCGCTGCAATATGCAAATATCCATACATGAAATGAACATAAAGAAATCATTTGATTAATTTCACTCACGTTCGTGGTCTTTTTTCCTTCTCACACGTGCATTTTCCAAGAAGACTCTGAGCTGTTTATTGCCATTTCTGCACGCCTTGCGCCCGGCCAAGGGGGACTGAGGTGCAGCGGGAAGAGTACACCCAAGAGATGAAGACTCGGATCACCTCTGCGTCTTGCACTTCATCTGCGGATTACGCAATTTATCTATTCAAGATCTCTCGTACATCTGATCGCAAACGAAGTCTCTCCCTTGAGTGGCTCAGAGTGTGTTAATAAAAATTAGAATAAGGGAAATGTGAAGGTATTTATTTGCATATTATAACTCACTGGGCTTCCATCAAGTTGAGAGAGAGAGAGATAATTATTTGCGTGCTCGCATAATTCATTGTGTGCGCGAGGAGAAAACGAAAAATATGGAACGCCAAAGTGTACAAAAAAGAGGTTGAACATATTGTAAAATTGAAATATCTTATTCAACCGGAGTATCGATCAAAAATGAAACAGCGTGGAAAATATGTCTCTTACAGCTGTTTCACTGTGTTTTTTTTTCGTGAGCCAACGCATGTTTCCACCTTCTTTGATCCATCGCCATGATATGATATGAAAGTAAAAAGACACTCTGTTTCACTGTGTTGAGCGCGGCGTTGTGGCGAAAAAAGGAAAAAATTTGGTATTCACCCCAATTTGCAGTGTTTTCGTGAATTAACTTTATTAACATTTGTTACCTGTTTAATTTGCTTTATGACTAAAAGGGGAGGCACGAAGCCATGTCAGAGGCGACGCCGAATCAAAAGACGACACTGTCGAACACCATCAAAAAGCTGCAAGTTTATTAAAACATTTTTTTTAATGCTCAGAAACTGCGGGAGTGCGAGATGGTGGTTGATGATAAAAAAGTCATTTAGCGTTTATAAATGGCATCATTGAGAATCATTAGGTATGATAATAAGTGCACAGTTGATAAATTTGCAAATTTATTGGCCAGTCATGAGAGCTTCCCATAAAGCTGGACGCGCAGCATTACAAGCTATTTAGTGTGTTTTGTGTCGCACTCAATTTCCATGGACTCTTGAGCATCGTGCAATGATACATTTCCTTCTGCCAAGGGGTTGCTAATCTGAGTTTTGAGTGCCACAGCATCTTGCATCGTGCGTGGGAAAATGGACAGCAGCAAATTTAAGCAATTTATTCTAATTTTATTGCATTTCTAGGTTATGTGATTGATTTAAAGAAGATTCTGATGGTTAAATAACCCTCAAAATCATCTAATCTGTGTTTAAGTTGGGAAATTTTTTTTGTTCTTGGTACAAAATGAAGAATTTGTGTTGGAAGAAACTTTAAATCAACTTTAAAGTTCAATTGTAACCCTGAAAATGTAATTTCAGCTTAGAAGAATGGTTATGTGAATGTTTTAAAACCGATTCTGGCAATTAAAAAACCCTCAGAACTGTCAAATTTTGGTTTAAGCTAAGAATTTTTCTCTTTTCTGGCGCAAAGTTGAGGATTTGTGTTCAAAATAACTTCATATTGGTTCAGAAAATGCTTTGAAATTAATCATAACCTCAAAAAATATCATTACAATTTGCAAGACTGTCACAAAAGCTTCAAATATTTACAAATTTCTACGTTTGAAA